CCTCTTCGACTAGATTTGGAGGGAGGTATTGGGCTCTAAATTTCATGTTTGACCATTAACTATGTATTACTATACATCTGCAACAAATTTTTACACTGGGTCTCAATTTGAAAAATGCAATATTTTCAGTAGAACCTCCCCTTAAAAAAGCAAAACATGACCGAAAGTGACGAAAATTTCCACCAGTAGTCACAGACACTCTATATATCACCCCTCGACATGTCACGAACCTCCTCTCTCTTCTGTTATGCCCCTTGCGCCCTTCATTTTAGACTTACGGACAACTAGCACCATGAGCTGCGAAAAAAATACCTTTCAAAGCGCCGAGGAGGACTCGGAAAAAGTGGTCCGATTTCATTTAAATTTGGCAGGGGTCTTTCTATGGTCATAATGCATCAGAATATTAACTCCCGGACGACGCCCGAAACACCAGTGAAGTTTGAGGCCACCCTGACGATAACTGTGTTTGGGGTGATTTCTCTGGTGCAGTTATCGGCACCCCCCAAATGAGGGAAAGCAAGAGGAATTTCTGTGCACCAAGCACAGAATGCCTTCTTCAATAGATGGGTAGAAGGAACCTGGCAAGAGAATAGTTTTTTCCGGCCCACATTCACGAGTTTAACGAAAGATTGAACCCCTGTTCCTAGCATGGAAGATAAGAACGGGCGGCCGAAGCAGCTTCATTCTCCACTTGACAAGAAACGTGGCTCTGTTGGCTGACATACTCAACCAAACGCGATGCTGTCTCGGTCCTGCATGCTCAAAAGGTGTCTCTAGCGACCTGCATTGGCCGCATCACAAACGGACGCGTACTTGCAGAGCATGACCCAATTATTCGCCGAGATGACGGTAACTGTACCCCTGCCGATAACTGTATAGTTTACCCTAACCCCCGTAAAGGCTAATTTTCTGTATCGTTTCCGGTCTGTGTTCTTCCTCTGGTCACTGGTACCGTGCCAGTCAAGACCTGCAGGTGATTTGATTTGACACCATGAAGTGGAAGAGGGGAGTATCTGTACTCGTCTTCAAATAGAATTTTTATATTATTATTGTGCCTGCATCACTGCATAGACTTAATTCAGGAAACCATACAAAATATTCAATCCAGGAAGCGGAAGAAGGTATAATTCGATTTATCTCCAGATTGAATTTTCATTCCATTATTCTGTCGATAAAAGTCTGAAATGCAATGAAAACAATTGTACTATCAAACAAAGAAAAGACTAAATACCACTGAATATTTCTTATGTGGCCTGAAATTGCATCATTCTCAATGTACCGTAACTATCAAGCCGTGTTCCAAATTTTTCAAGACGAAGCCTTACTCAAGTCAAAATAGAAGCAAATCTAGGTAAAAATCATGAACAGGTTGGTCTTGTTTGTACTCGTAATCCACGATATCTCCCAAAGTATGTATTTAGTTAGGGTGAGGTGTGGGTGAAAATTTGTACCAAAATTGAATAAAATGATCAATTCACTTGTCAATTTAGTGTAAAATATTCTTCTATTACCGATAGCATGTCTTAAAGGTCTGTGTAATGAACCCCTAAGTGAGTGTTCATCTTACGTGGACTGATGTATGCATGCGCCTTTTCTGGTCACCCAACTCTTTCGACGTCCAAGAATTTTTTTTCTACTCCGTCAACTAGCCACGCATACAGTTTTGTTTAGTGACTATACTTCTTGGAGCAGTTCTTTGTGGTCCATGTAACAATGTAACAGAGAGATATTTCAAATAGCTATCCACTTACTTATATCGTTTAACTTAAAGTGGTAGAACACAGCGAAAAAAACTTAGTTTTTCCAACTAAACAATTGTTAAGTTTGCTCTGCCAAAACAAAAATATAAAATTCAAATTTCTCTGTTACATTGAAGTATAGGGGTTTAGGTAACTCCAAAACAAATTTCAGGTCGTTTCGTCAAGTAACTTAGCGTGGTTGATTTTTCTACTTAACGCTTAATTTCAATGAGAAAAGCCTACTGTGGCTGAATAGGAGGGTAAATTTGGACGAAATTTGGTTTGTAATAGTACTTAGTACTAAGTACTTAGTACTACCTAGTACTTAAACGCCCCAAAGTTTTGACCACCTCAGCCAATTGGTATAGAAGTTTCCATTTTCACCCACACCTCACCTTGACCGTATTGGCACTTGGCAGATAAAAAGAGAACATGAGTCTTTGGTAAAATTTTGAGCACTTTTGGTGATGACGTCAAATCAGTCAGAAAACTTTTTTTATTTGAACAACAACAAAAAATTGAAAAAAAAATTGCCAAAAATTTTTTTGAAGAGGTGTAGGTACAGGTATAGTTTGGTCCAAATCCGTGAGGACAAATGGCTTGCTCTTTAGGTGTGGGATCTGTGAAAAGCCATGGATATACATAATAACTCTTAGAAACGTACCCACTTTGGTTGCAATATTTTCCTCAGTATTTGTCCATAGGAATTTTTGCATCTAATTATGAACAAAATGGTGCGTCCATGATCGCTGTCGCGCGACAGCGACAGTGAGAGCAGTTCGTCCGCTGCTAATACACTACAAACCTAACTGTCTACTAAGTTCACACTTGAAAATGCATGCTTGCAAGTACACACTTAAAAACGCATGCTTGGCCAAGCACACACTTTCAAATGCTCATGCTTAGCATGGAGGTATATTGCGCCAAGCATGCCTTTGTAAGTGTGAACTTGTAGGCATGCCATTGTAAGTGTCTACTAAGTGCACAGCTACGTTTGTAGTGTAGGCTCCGCCCGCTGGCTGGCGGAAGCAAGCGTGCGTTGGCACTGTTGGTCACTCGGGCCGGCAAGCGGAGCGGGCTAGCGCCGAATCCTCTGTCTCTCTCGCACATGACAGTGATCGAGGCGACAGCGATCGAATTGCTACTGTATTCACAATAATTGTTCTGAGCCTGTTTCGGTCAACTGAATTGTTCCCGATACACTCTCAACGTGACAAAATGTCACGTTCGTTTGTGTCACATTCGTTTGGGTGTGAATTGGCCAAAAATCAGCTTGTTCACATTCAAACGAACGTGACACAATGCTCAAACCAACGTGACATACTCTAAGATGCAGCAACCGTTGCAGTTCTTGATCGTGCGTCTACCGTGAGTGTCGATGGTTGTGTTTCTGACCCGCTCCTTCGGTGCCCCCAGCTGCTGGACCTCCCCGACGACGCGCTGCTGGCCGTGCTGGGCTTCCTGCCGCCCAGGCAGCTCTTCGCGTGCCGCGTGGCGTGCCGCCGCCTGCGGGACCTCTGCCTGCACCGCTACCTGTGGCGGCACGTGTCTCTGGATGGGGGAAAGGCGGGTGTGGTGCTCGCCGCGCTGGCTCTCGCCCCCTGCGTCAAGTCGATCGTGTGCTCCGGGCCCAGGGACGTCCAGGCATCCAGAGTCAAAACCACCAATTGCGTAGTGACGAGGCTAAAGTTATTCGTTTTCGGTGGGAGTAACCGGATGGCTCTGGCAATGGAGATGATTCAGAGGCTGTATGCTCTGGGTGGGTTGAGAGAGCTCGATGTGAATATCCGTGCTATCCAGTCTACGGCGCCGCTCCTGCAACAGGTCTATTACCTCCGCGATCTTCGAAAACTTTCATTGTCAGTGAATGGACATGTTGAAGCGCTGGCAGCCAAGTGTAACGAGCTGGAGACTAAGCCATCCTTGCGTGAGCTCCATTATGATGCGCTGACCGGAGGTCGTGCCTTCCTTGAACTGCTGCTGAGGACTCACGCGTCGACGTTGCAAGACGTGTCGCTTTATTTCTGCGCCGATGAAGACATCCCAGCCTCCACTTTGCTCAAGATCCCCGGGCTGCGCTCCCTCAGATGCTTCGCGACAACCAGCCTGCACCATTTGGCGGTTCTGCCCAGCCTGCACACCATTCGATTAATTGGATTATGTGCATCAGGTGCACTGCAATTTCTTCGAGACGCGTCGCACCTTCGGACTGTAGAGCTGGATGCTTGCGATCGTCATTCTCTGCCGGCTTTGGGCAGTTCCCGCTCTGCCCCACTCATTGAAACCCTGCTCGTCAGAAACCTGGTCGTCAGATACAGGGTCTTCTCGGAGAAGCAGCTGCTATCAGTCCTTCCCGAGTTCCCCGCCCTGAAGGTAGTTGACCTCGATGGATGGCCCTCAGACGACTTCCTGCGAGGTGTCAGCCCCGTCTCCGCCCCGAGCCTCGCAACCCTGGCAGTACACTGTCCTCTCCAGTGCGCCCACGCCTTGGTGCACAGCCCCGCTGTTCAAAGTCTGCTTTTGCGGAACCCTCGGCTTCACCTCTTTGTTAGGGAGTTCTTGGAAAACCCATGTGGGAAGAAGAAGAAATCCTGCTCTTGGTGCCGCAAAGGCTGCCATGGAGAGCTTCTGGGGCGTAAAAGTCCCATGTCGTTCTCGTCACACGTTAAAACAGCAGGATGTCCAAGCGACTGCTTTAACGTTACCGCTTGATGGACAAGTTTCCGCTTCTTGTTTGTTTTGTGCGGGATTCATATGATTGTGGCGGAGTTAATTCAATGTGCAATTTAAATGTTACTCTATGGGCCGGGTCCGGTGCACAAAGAGACGACCTGAAAATATGTTAAACCAGCCAAAGTTTGTTTTTATGCGTATTTTGAAATATATCTAGGGCAGATGCCCACATCTTTACACTGTACTCCTATCCGGAAATTTAAAGGCCATCCCGTATACCTTAACTGCTTTACACTTCGCCTTTAAAGTTCTCGCTGGGTGGCATCGCAGGAGACATCACTCCGAATAAGTCTTCAAAATTTTCACTCATGCACTTAAAAAGAATGCGTTTTAGTCTGCGTTGACTGCTGAACACCGCACCCTTTTTCCAACACTGCGAACACTGCAAATCCGAAAGTGAGACTTCTCGCGCCACTCCAGAGGCGACACTTGAACGTCTGGCCAACACGGCAAGGGCTCGCTATCGCTCGCCAAAAATGGTTGTACAGAAACAATTAGATGAGTGAAAATTTAGTCGTTCCAAAACATAGAATTTCATCATGAACCAAAGCGAAACAAATGTCGTTGAGTCTAGAAAGCGACATTTTGTCGTTGAAGAACAAAATTCTTGTTATCACTCTTTACGATACAATTTGTGTGGAAACAACATCTTTTGCAATTATCTGCTCAATTAAAGCATGTTATGAATAATCATCTATTTTGTTCTTCTAAGTCATATGGAAATTACTGTTGTTAAAAAAAAAACCATACAAAATAAATTTAGCGACAAAAGTACTCTATGAATATTGTTGCAGACATTACAAAATTTCTTTTGGACTTTCAATACTTGTCGTTGATGTATTATTGTTGGTGCGTTATTACAAGTTAGTCGTTGTGACATTATCCCTTACACACTAAACTTCTTACGGATACATCCTATCTGTATTACGGACATTTTTGTGCAATTGCAATTACGGATAGATTTTGCTTGTAATACGGATGAAATCATCCGTATTACAAAGAGTTTTACGTCCGTAACATACAGACGAAAATATCCGTATGGTACGGACGTAAAACTCTTTGTAATACGGATGATTTCATCCGTATTACAAGCAAAATCTATCCGTAATTGCAATTGCACAAAAATGTCCGTAATACAGATAGGGTGTATCCGTAAGAAGTTTAGTGTGTAGTTCCAATACGACTATGGTTTAACAAGCTATTCGTTCCACAACAAATCTTGTCGCTAAAAAAGTTAGCGATAAATGTGTCGCTAAGTTACGACAAAATTTTTATCAGTGTCCGTCTCCGAGCTGTCGTCCCTAATTCTACTCTCACTTATATTCTAACCCGTCTCAAAATCCCAAAGTCTCTCAAAATCAACTCTTAGTCTATAAAAGCACTCCCAATTAAACTCAGCACTAATTGTAAAATTTCTCCAGGATCCTGTCTCGAGGGGGTAAACACTTCAAGAAATCGTGTACATACTACTCGGTATTACGCTGTATTACGGAGGTATTACACGTGTATTACGGCCTTAAAATGCAAAAATTTGGCACATTTGACCCGAAAAAGGTATTACGACTACGTGTATTACGCGTAATACACGGTTTTTGTGTACAGGGTATTACGCGAGTGGTTACCCCCTCGCCTGTCTCGAGTTGAACTGGCCGCCCTCGTTTGTCCGTCTGTCTAAGAAGTTCCCCCTCCACACGATTTTGTAAACCCCATTTATTGTAAGAAAAATCAATTTTTGAATCCAAATAAATGTTTGCTCTCTCTCCGTCCGCTCTGCTCTGGCGTGTGAACGTGCCTTGCCACGCGTTACCGGCTTCGCTCCTCGCGCCACAGCCCGTCGCCGGCTACACTGGTAAAACTAAAGCGTAACTCTATGCTTGAGTCAAGCATAAAGTTACGCTTGAAGACGTTATTCTTGAAATGAAGCACACTGTGGCAATTCCCCCAAGCATTTAGATAGGGGGAATCTTGAGGGAAAAGCCTGTTACGCTTGATTTCAAGCGTAAACTAATTACGCTTGAAAACGAAGGGTAATAATACGCTTTAGTTTTACCAGTGTACTCTTGTCGCGCGCGAACTGTGTCAGGACATTCCTGTGTGCCTTCGCGACGGCGAGCAGGTCGCCAGGACGGAAAGAATCGCTTCGTAATACGAAGAAAATGAAGGCATTGCAAAATCGACGAAGAAATGCTTCGTATTATCAAAATCCTTCGTATTATGAAGCAAAATCCTTCGTAATATGAAGCATTTCTTCATAATACGAAGCAATTCTACAACGCCTTCATTATCTTCGTATTTACGAAGCAAATGCTTCGTAGGCTTGTCCACAGTTAAAAGTCTGCGAAGAGTCGCTTCGTAATACGAAGAAAATGAAGGCATTGTAAAATCTACAAAGAAATGCTTCAAACAACAAAACTAAGCAATGATCAGTATGGGAGAACTCGCTCTATAAAAAGTTTTTGAAATAATCGTTCACAAGTTTTAACTTTATTTAAATTTTGAAATAGAATGATAAAAACAAAATACAATTGTCGCCATCATTTGTCCCCACTGTCTTCCAGATTAGGGAGAGAGGAATAACCAGAACCATGGGCACGAACTCCGTCCATACTCGGGTCTCTTCACAGTAAAAAGTCTACGAAGAAGCGCTTCGTAATACGAAGAAAATGAAGGCATTGTAAAATCTACGAAGAAATGCTTCGTATTATGAAGCAAAATCCTTCGTAATACGAAGTATTCCTTCATGATACGAAGTATTCCTTCATAATACGAAGTATTCCTTCATAATACGAAGGAATCCTACAAAGCCTTCATTTTCTTTGTAGTTATGAAGCAAATGCTTTGTAGGCTTTTAAGAGTGTTGATTGGAAACGAAGTTATGAAGGTCCAGTCTTCTGATGGGTGGCAATGGTATACACCACTCGGAACAACAAAGCTTTCAGCCTAAAGAGAGACAAAAAATAAAATAAAACTATTTAGCAAAGTAAAATTCTGCTAAGTTTACCAATTTTGAAAATCAAGAAAAGTAAGCCTATTGTTCAATATGTAAGTTTGAGAATTACAATCCATATGCAATAGCAGTGCACTGCACACGACTGACGTAATTTTCAGAAAAAGCGGAATCGCAAAATGGCGAAACTCACTTGCGACGGAGGGACCGGCCAGGGCCAGACAAAAACAACAGCAGGGATGCATCTCGAACGCCTCCCTCACATTGCACGCCCAGGCGCCCGAAGCCCCGTGACCCGGCCGCACAGGTGAAGGCACCTCCAGAAAGCTTGAAGTTTGGGCTTTCGGCGCGGCGACATTACTTTCCGCTCACGTCGTCACGTCATCTCCAACCGCAGCCACAATACTCTTGTCAGTTGAACTACATACATTGTAGGTTCGCAGTAAATACTGCACACACTAAATGTTTATGTACAATTTTGTACGTGGTGATGCATAATTTTAAACTTGTGTGCCGTCCTGCATGAAATTATGCGTGAATTTGCATAAATTCATGCATCCCACGCATGATATTATGCATTTTCCACGTATGCTCAAAATCGTGCAAGTTGCACGTACAAAATTCTACCTAAACATTTAGTGTGCAGTGTACATTTCCAACAAATACTGTGTACATGCCATCGTATACAGTAAATGCTACGTACTGCACTGCGTGCATGCCAATGTATGTCATACGCTGGTTGCACGCTCATATTTACAGCTGGTTCTAATCGTCAATTCAAAGGATTTGTTTTAGGTTCGTATATACCTTGTACGCAGAATTTACTGCTTCAATGCGCGTGTACGCAGCATTTGCTGCTTACATGGCATGTATGCAGTATGTTGCGTTTTCCGTATTGGTTTCCTCACCGGAGCGAAGCAGGTGGTCGCGCATCCAGTTGTGTGACTGAAGACAACACGGTATTTGAAACCAGGCTTCGGCTGTCTGTCGGTGTTCCAAATTCATTCTCTCTGGTTCATCAAAGGTTCCGTTATTTGATGTAGTACAACCGCACTCGCGAACTTGCTACACTTCTCTCGGGTGAAATTTTCTGCACTCCCCCAAGGGGGGCTGACCATCCGAACCGTGTACGAAGTACTAAATATAATAGGTAATGTTGTGTATTATAGGTATTATTCCGAGTGTCATCTTAAGATTATTGTGTCGTTTTATGTGGTTTTCCGTATACTAAAGGTTTCTTAAGGGGCTCATATGTTAAAAGCACTGTGTAAAAATAATTGATGTAGACGGATAAAGATTTTACAATTTCTGTGTTAAAACCCTTTCAGATAATTGAGAACACACTAAATGTTTATGTACAATTTTCTACGTGGTGATGCACAATTTTAAACTTGTGTGCCGTCGTGCATAAAATTGTGCGTGAATTTGCATAAATTTATGCATTTTCACGCACAATATTATGCAAACTCCCCGCATGCACAAAATCGTGCAAGTGGCACGTACAAAATTCTACATAAACATTTAGTGTGAAAGCTTCATTTTGGCTTAAAGTAAAGTGACTTTGGACCTTTATAGGGAAATTTAGTCAAAAGGTTAAATTTTTGGTTTTTGTAAGATTTTTTTTGCATACTTGCTCAGATCTGTGGGAGGAAAATCAGGGAGACTAATCCCTAGTAGTGTCATAGAATTGACTAGAATGGGCCTTTTATCTGCAATAGTTTTCAAAAAAAAAATATAAAATCAACTTTGTGTTCAAAAATTTGTTTATAAAATTACTAAAAAAATTGTTTTGCCCCCCCCCCCCTCTCCCCTGACGCGAGGAGACAGCTACGGCCCTGGCCGTCCTTTCAAAATGCACGAATTTCAAGCGCATCAACAAAAGCGTTGTTGCGCACAAATTCGTGCATTTTATAACATGCAAAGCTTATGCACGAAAAACGACATAGTAATTCAGTGTGTTTGCTTCTTTCCAGGACCGTGCACCGTGCGCTGGACTCCTCGTTTACCGAAGCCCGCCCGCGCTTCCCGCTCCGTCTTCACTGTCGGCTCGGCGACCAAGTTCTTGTGAAAGCACCCTGGATTGATCGTCTTCTGCTTCTTCCATCTGGACCTTCTCCTACAGTGGGTCGTGCTTCGTCGCTGCCGCTATGACTCACGTGAGTGCATCCTGCTTTCGGACCGCTGGTCATATGGGCCACTTTCGTGATATGGGAGTCAAACGGTGGAACACAATATCAAGGGTCAGCTGAAGTAATTTTGGGACTCGGAATAAAGTGGAACAGCTACAGTTTCAGCCTTCTTTTACCGATTGTTTCTTATTAGCAGACGCATCTCTGTAAACAACCATAACTTAGTATTCCGTTCTTAAAGAGATGGGCTCAGTTCACCTCTTGAAAAAGTGTCGACAATATCATATTAAATATCTATTAATAGTAAAACCTCTATATCTGTGTTGTGGAGGGGGTGATGTGGGGTGGTGGGGGCTCGAAGGTCGTACGCGGATATTAATTATTTAAACGATTAATATATTTTATTATTAATTATTTAAGATATTTATTAGAGATTCCTTAGCCGAGTAACCGAGTGCCTGTACTCGTTTCCGACTCCTGGCCGAAGAAGCGGCGAGGCTACGCTGGCGATGGTATGAGAAATTCACCAGTGGCGGTGAGACTACGCGGGTGACGATATGAGAAATTCACCAGTCAGCGCCCCGGGCGAGCTTGTGGTGAGTGGCCGGCGCGGGCTTTTTGAATTCACGCCTTACGATAAACATAAAATCGGCCCCACTGCAGCACTACCATGTCGAAATCGTGCATCCTTCGTTGCGTCCCCTGCACCACACTCACCGTGCAGAGGCGAATCCAGAGGGGAGAGCACGATGATGTGTCAAAAGTTCCCTGCCTACAGGGGCAACATGCGACTTTTTTCTTCACCGCTGAGAGCCTCGAACAAAAGCAAAGTGCGATCTGCCGGTAGGAGCCCACAACATACCTCTAATAGCGATGTCAGGCTGAACTGTGCCTGGTGTGTGTGATTTTGCTGGCAGTTGGCTCTGGTTGGCAGAGCCCGGCCTCGGACCCAGTGCCCCGCCACCTTAGTCCAAAGTGTGTTTCCGCGGGGTTGCCTGCACTACTGCGGCTGGACGCACCCACAGACAGTCTGTGTACGTACGCCACGCCGACGTGCAGGGGCGCACCGCACGGTCACAGCCCGTGCAGACCATTGAACGTGACCCTCGTTGCGGAGCGTCGTCATGGGCGTGATTGTCTTCCGTCGTGTCAGGGCGTTGGCCAAGGCGCAAGGGGACGCGGGAGCACACCCTCCTGCTTCGCGACACGGGCTCGGCCCTTGCGTGGGTTGCCACCGCCACCTCCAACGCCGTGAACGGGAAGCAGGTGTTTGCATAGACTGATTCTGCCTTCACCACGCATAGGGCATTTCAACATGCAGGGAGGGGAGAAGTGGAAAGGGAGGGGGGGGCCTGGAGAGCTCTCTGGTGAGGAACTCACCTGGGGAGCCCGCATCGCGATGTCCCTCTTTCGTTGTGCAGGGATCACGCATTGAAAAGATAATTTCTGCCGACCAGGGCCCTGGTCATCGGGTGCAGCGGGTTGCATAGCACTTGCCAGTCCACACCCCTACAAAATTTCAGCCCTCTTGGTCAGTGGGTATGGAAACTGAGAGCAATCAAAGTTTTTGGCTATTTTGCTTTAGACGTTTTTGACTAAATTGCACTTTCTTTACTGAAATGCTCCGGAATTCTCTTCTTTTCGATGCAAATTGGTACCCGAACGTAAAATTGAGTGGCAAATCTGAGTCTGCATGCAGAATCTGCAAGCAGTTCATCGTTGATAAAAACGCACTCAAAGCCAAAAAAAAACTTTTGGGTATTTTATAACCTTTTAATTTTTTGCCCATCTCGGAATCCAAACTGCACTGCAAAAAATTCCGTGGTTTGGCACGGAAAATGTACGGAAAAATGGGGTACAGACGGGTACGGAAAAGGTACGGACCTTCTGTACTGGTTCTCTGTGGTCCCCATGAGGATCTCATGTAAACAGGTACAGAAAACATGTACAGAACCTCCGTGGTTGGCAAGGTACGGACGGTCCAGGTAAAAAATTGACCAGACATGTTCCGTGTAATTTCTGTACTTTTTTCTATCAGTGTTGGACGCGTCCTGAGCGGGACGGGAAATCATTCCTCAGACTACCTAAAAACAAGCGGCTCGAGTTACTGGGGTAGCCCAGTTAGATTAGATTTTGACCCTAAAAAAATTAGCAAAAACGCGCCGCTTTGGGGATCGATAGTACCACCCATAAGCATCAAATCCTGAAAATTCCCAAGAATTCCCATCATGCATTCTCCCGGAAACGGCGTTCAAAGTCCGCCATTTTGGATTTTGGGGCCCAAGTGGTTATCAGCCTCTACCGGCCAAACGGTTCGTCCGACAGAGTCGCCCGACGGCTCAAATTAATCGTCATGCATAGAGCTACAATCTGCATTAGTCGGATTTTGTTTTATATCAGTACGCACTGGAAAAATTTTACACTAAAGTGGAATTTTTGATTTTCTGGAAAGTCATATCCATCTTTGAGTCCACTTTCCTCTTTTCTTGTCAAGATATCGGTAAAAAGTGCTTCTCTATGCGTTGTTGGCCTATTTTTTCCGAACAGATTGGTATCTAATTGATCCCTGTGGGACCAATATTGGCCGAGATAGAGCGCCGAGACTTGAGCGCCGTGACCCGGCGGGAGGCATATTTTGTACCCCGGCGCCAACCTTCAAGTCGCACTAACTCGCTCATTAATGATCGCACAGGGTTCACTCTTACACGAAAAGAAGCACAAAAGTCTGCCCTACAACATGGATGTATTGCATTTGAACTCGTACTCATCGCGTTTCATATAAAAGCGGAAAAATCCGGAAATTTTGGTGTTTTGTCAGGGTTTATCTTGGTTTTCGACCGATTTGGGGCAGAGTAACGATCCAGATAGAAACTTTACGTTATCCCAGCTGTCAAGCACTCTTTTCTGAAGCGCTCGACGCTTCTCACGTCATTTTCCGTCAAACTATACCCGTTAAACAGCTAGCATTCAAAATCGGCGCGTGCAGCAAGCGGGTTGCCTACCTGCCCCTTAGGGGACTGCCATGCACCAAGCCAATCAAGCACGAAAAAGTGCTGTAAATTCGGACAGGGACGTGCTAATGGGCTGAACTTTTGGGATCGGGTAAGGTTCATGACGTAGATACTTGCCTCAAAATTCCCAAAACACCCCGGGACCAGGCTGGCCGTTACGCCTGTCCAATGTTCAAATCGTTGTTAAAATGTAGGGCTTATGCATACCCACCGTAACTTTTAACCAATAGGGCCTGGTTCAATAGGGTTTCTTTTGCTGAACGCACGCTAAGACGCCCTACAATAGTTATGAAGACATGTTTTGTGATCCGAGCTCAAGTATGGACTCTACAGAGGGTCAAAGGCAGCAAAGAAAGGCCAAAGTGGCACATGATGCAGTTTTTTGCTGCCTTTGACCCTCTGTAGAGTCCATACTTGAGCTCGGATCACAAAACATGTCTTCATAACTATTGTAGGGCGTCTTAGCGGTGGGTATGGTTTGGGCGCTGCAGTGCTCGCAACATTGACAACTGCTGAATGTTCAATCCAAAGAGATCTAATCGATCGGTGCGTCTGACAGCAATTTCGGGACTGAAAGTCAAAAAGTGCAGTCCTCAATCACCGGTTCCCAAAAAATATATCGAGGGAGTACTTCAGATAGTACTCCAGAGGCATAGTTTTCGGTCCCAATCCATCTTGGCTCCATATTTCACAGACCGTAAGTAAAAGATAAAGAAAAACTTCCTAAAGAAACCTGCCGGAAATCAAATTTTGAACAAAAAAAATCTTGATGCAAATTGTTGTCGGACGCACCGATCGATTAGATCTCATTGCGTTGAACATTCAGCAGTTGTCAATGTTGAAAGTACTGCAGCGCCGAAACTATACCCATACCCTCAGTAAATCAAGCCGCTTGTTTTTAGGTAGTTGTCTGAGGAATGATTTCCCGCGTAAGACGGGTCCAGTTTGGATTCCGAGGTAGGCAGAAAATTAAAGGTTGTAAAACACTAAAAAAATGTTACTTTTTGGCTTTGAGTGCGTTGTTATCAACGATGGACTGCTTTGGGGTCGATTCTGCGTGCAGATTCGGATTTGCCACTCAATTTTACATTCCGGTACCAATTTTCATACCTCAGGCCCGAAAAGAAGAGAATTCCGGAGCATTTCAGTAAAGAAAGTGCAATTTAGTCAAAAACGTCTAAAGCAAAATAGCCAAAAACTTTGATTGCTCTCAGTTTCCATACCCACTGACCAAGAGGGCTGAAATTTTGTAGGGGTGTGGACTGGCAAGTGCTATGCAACCCGCTGCACCCGATGACCAGGGCCCTGGTCGGCAGAAATTATCTTTTCAATGCGTGATCCCTGCACAACGAAAGAGGGACATCGCGATGCGGGCTCCCCAGGTGAGTTCCTCACCAGAGAGCTCTCCAGGCCCCCCCCTCCCTTTCCACTTCTCCCCTCCCTGCATGTTGAAATGCCCTATGCGTGGTGAAGGCAGAATCAGTCTATGCAAACACCTGCTTCCCGTTCACGGCGTTGGAGGTGGCGGTGGCAACCCACGCAAGGGCCGAGCCCGTGTCGCGAAGCAGGAGGGTGTGCTCCCGCGTCCCCTTGCGCCTTGGCCAACGCCCTGACACACTCTACCAAAAATGTCCTGTAAATGCCGTTAATTTATTACCAGTTTTCACTGTAGGTCAATTCACAGCGTTTACTGTGATCTGCTCACGGGATTCACTGTGATCTTGTTCGCGGTGTTCACTGTGATCTGGTCCCCAGTAAACACTGTGAGTTTGACGCCGCTAAGCACCGAAGAACTGCAAATCAGGCTCCAATTCACGGCGTTTACTGTGGCCAGATCACAGTGAACACTGTAACCGAGATCACAGTGAACGCCGTGAACTAGTTCACAGCGAACGCCGTGAATTGCAAAACAGCAAACATTGGTAATAAATTAACGGCGTTGACAGGACATTTTTTGTAGAGTGCACGACGGAAGACAATCACGCCCATGACGACGCTCCGCAACGAGGGTCACGTTCAATGGTCTGCACGGGCTGTGACCGTGCGGTGCGCCCCTGCACGTCGGCGTGGCGTACGTACACAGACTGTCTGTGGGTGCGTCCAGCCGCAGTAGTGCAGGCAACCCCGCGGAAACACACTTTGGACTAAGGTGGCGGGGCACTGGGTCCGAGGCCGGGCTCTGCCAACCAGAGCCAACTGCCAGCAAAATCACACACCACAGGCACAGTTCAGCCTGGCATCGCTATTAGAGGTATGTTGAGGGCTCCTACCGGCAGATCGCACTTGCTTTTGTTCGAGGTTCTCAGCGGTGAAGAAAAAAGTCGCATGTTGCCCCTGTAGGCAGGGAACTTTTGACACATCATCGTGCTCTCCCCTCTGGATTCGCCTCTGCACGGTGAGTGTGGTGCAGGGGACGCAACGAAGGATGCACGATTTCGACATGGTAGTGCTGCAGTGGGGCCGATTTTATGTTTATCGTAAGGCGTGAATTCAAAAAGCCCGCGCCGGCCACTCACCACAAGCTCGCCCGGGGCGCTGACTAGTGAATTTCTCATATCGTCACCCGCGTAGTCTTACCGCCACTGGTGAATTTCTCATACCATCGCCAGCGTAGCCTCGCCGCTTCTTCGGCCAGGAGTCGGAAACGAGTACAGGCACTCGGTTACTTGGCTACAGAAATCTCTAATAAATATCTTAAATAATTATTAATAAAATATATTAATCGTTTAAATAATTAATATCCGCGTACGACCTTCGAGCCCCCACCACCCCACATCACCCCCTCCACAACACAGATATAGAGGTTTTACTATTAATAGATATTTAATATGATATTGTCGACAAATTTTCAGGAGGTGAACTGAGCCATCCCCTTCTTAAATTCTAAAAAAATTATTAGTAGTTTACCTAGAAAACGATAATATCAGCACAGTAATTAGCAATTAATAAGTAATACAAAGAAAAAAAAATCAAGTGTTACGGTTGCTGGTTGCTTACAGAAATGCGTCTGCTAAGCCCTGTATAATGCTGAGAGTGTATTTTCAGGAATGACATAAATTTTAGAATTCACATAGGAATTTTTTGTCTATGCTTCATTTCCAGCGTAACAGCTATAAGAGCAGCATTTTGAAACGTAGATTTATTCTTGACTCAAGCGTACGCTTGAGTTAGCTATGCTTTAGATTTGCCAGTGTTTCTCAGTATAAACATTGGCGCTTAGGGCGGCTCATACATGTTAAAAGCACTTTGGAAAAAAAAAATTGATGTAGATGGATCAAGATTTTACAATTTCTGTTTCAGAACCCTTTTAGATAATTGAGTAAGCTTCATTTTGGCTTTAAGTAAAGTGACTTTTGACATTTTTTGGAAATTTAGTCAAAGATAAGATAAAAATAAAAACAATAAAAACAATAGAAACCACAGGCTAAGAGTGCACAATATGAGATCGTTGCAGAGATCAATTAATTAGGCACGTAATTGTAAGTCTTGGTTGTTTGGGTTGTTTCCTCCCTTTAAGAAAAAAAATTACCGTCCACCTGCTTTTTGGAGGTGGTTTCGAAGGCATTATAAATGCAAATCGTGGTCAGATGATGGCACTTAAGCCGTGGCAAAATTGATCCAGGAAGCGGAAGAAGGGGATAACTCCATTTTGGCCATTTTCCAGGAGAAACCAAAAACTGTTAGGAGGGAAAACTAAAACAAAACAAATGAATGTTGCACATGTTAATAATTTCAAAAAGCATTAGTAAAATTTTGGAAAAAAATAAAAAGTGTAAGGTCACTCCGTAGAGGATTTCTGCAACTTATCGCTTTCCGTTGAAATGGAAAACAGAGTCAGCTCACCTTATATTTCCTAAACAAAGAGGAATTTGGAGACAAGTCAAGTGGAACAATAGTCTGCATGAAGTGTATGTTACTCTGGTGTATTTTTTGGACTTAGCTCTTTTTTCCAAATTGAAATTTAAAATTAAGGGGGGGCTAAGTTGAGTTGAATCTTTTTACACAAGCTTCATAAAAATACAAGTTGAGTTATATCCTTTTGCCAATTTGTCAAACGGACTCATGTGGACTTCCGTTGAGTTATCTCCATTTTCCAATGAAATTTAGACCGTAAAAGGGGTTAAGTTGAGTTATACCCTTTTTCCATGTGGATTTTCTCCTAAACCGCTTGGAATTCAGTCAAATAATTTGGTGTAATGATGGAAACCATTCTAAGGCACAATATTAAAATACAAACTCAATTTGGGGATAAGTCAAGTTATTCCCTTCTTCCGCTTCCTGGATCAATTACAGGGATCCGTAACTTAACATAAAACTAACACTGCTTTCATAACGTAACATAAGACAATGTTCGCTAAAGGTTAAGGGTACGGACTTTTGCAAGTACTTCCAAAAAAATTTCCACACAAATAAGAGACACAAGAAAAATAACTTATCCTTTTGAAAAGAATTTAGAAGTTAAGGGTTATAACTTTAACTGGTACGATAACGTTATGATGCCCTTGTGAGGTAAGTTAAGGATCCCTGCAAAATTACTTGGACCACCGAGGCGCCTTCTTTAGATAAAATCATTCTTCCAAAAACAAATACTCACCCAGTGCGCATATTTTAAGTAATTTTACCTCCAAGGCTTTCTTGAGCGTGCGTCTACCGTGAGTGTCGGTAGTGGCTATATTGACGGTAGCGGTAAAGTTACGCGACACCGATTTCAAAGTAACTTTGCCCATGCCTGGTGGCTGTTTCTGACTCGCTCCTTCTGTCCCCCAGCTGCTGGACCTCCCCGACGACGCGCTGCTGGCCGTGCTGGGCTTCCTGCCGCTCAGGCAGCTCTTCGCGTGCCGCCGCCTGCGGGACCTCTGCCTGCACCGCTACCTGTGGCGGCACGTGTCTCTGGATGGGGAAAATGAGGGTGTGGTGCGCGCCGCGCTGGCTCTCGCCCCCTGCCTCAAGTCGATCGAGTGCTCCGGGCCCAGTGCCGTCCAGGCATCCAGAGTCAAAACCACCAACTGCGTAGTGACGAGGCTAACGTTGTTCGTTTCCGGTCAGAGTAACCGGATGGCTCTGGCAATCGAAATGATTCAGAGGCTGCACGCTCTGGGCGGGCTGAGAGAGCTCCGTCTGACCTGCACCAATCGCCGGACAATGACGCCGCTCCTTCAGGCGGTCTATGATCTCCGCGGCCTCAAGACGCTCCTATTGGACGCCACAGGCGCTCAAGAGTGTCTCCCGGCTGCGTGGTGCGACCGAGAGGCGGAGCCCTCATTGAGTGACCTCGTTTTCGTCTCACACACCGCAAATCCTTTCCTCCAACTGCTCCTGAAGACTCACGCATCGACTCTGCAAAACGTGAGGCTGCTCACAGGGGACCACGTACCTGTGTCCTCGTTGCTCAACATCCCCGGGCTGCGCTGCCTGAGGTGTTCCCCGAATGTTGACCTGAGTCCGTTCGTGGCGCTGCCCAGCCTGCGCACCATTGAGCTCTTCGACGCAGAAGGCTACCACCGCGGTGCGTTGCAGTTCCTCCGTGAAGCGTCGCACCTGCGGAGTGTACGGCTGTGGGACTGCACGGACTCTGTTCTGCTTGCTCTGGGCGAGTCGCCCTCTGCTCCACTCATCGAACAGCTGGTCTTCACTTTCAGCAAGCGCCCCGTCTTGAAGGCGCTGTCATTGGCCCTTCCCAAGTTTCACGCTCTGAAGGTTCTCGACGTTCAGAGCGAATTCTTTGACAGCCTAGACACCGTTTGGCAGGTTGTCTGCCACGAGCCCACGCCGAGGCTCATCACCCTGGTGGTATATCCTTTCGTCTACGGCGACGGCAGGTGCCTCCACGAGTGGCTGCACAGCCGCTATGTCCAGGATGTGCTCTGGACGAACCCCTGGCTTCACCTCTGTGTGAGAGCACAAAACCTACGTGGTAGGTGTAATTCATGTTCGTGGTGCCTTGAGGACTGCCACCAACTCCTTCGACGCTCTGCTCCTAGGTCGTTCTCGTCGCACAGCAAGAAGGCTGGATGCCCCAAGGATTGCTTTGACATTACAGCTTGATAGGCAGGGGACTGCTTTTCAGTCCTATTTCGTGGTGTAATTCTAGTGCGTGTTATATTCTTGTTTCTTTAAAGTACTACTTGAACATGTAACTAAGGAAAATTTCTTGTGTTAATTTCATGTGTAACTTATACATGTTACCTTATGTTCTGCGGCCTGTACACCTATCAGAGTAAATTTGTTGTTGCCCTGCAGTTTGTCTTTTTTACTCAACTCGCTCATTTATGAGGAGGCGGCCATGCACATGTACCATGTATGTTGGTGCGTACAATGCGTTTCATGAGAGAAGTCATGCCAAAAACCGGCATGACAGGAAATTCACGCCAAAACGTGACATAAAGTTCTTAATCACACCGATTGATTGATCCGGGAAGCGGAAGAAGGGGATAACTCAATTTTTATCATTTTTGAGGAGGAACAAATAACTGTTTGCAGGGTAAACTTAACCCAATCAAATGAATGATGCAGTTGCAGTTTTTTCAAGAAAGGCTAAGAAATTACTGAAAATTTTCTAAAGTGTAACGGGTGGTGTTACAGGGTTCCTGGGAAAATATTCCTTATCGTAGAGCGCAATTTCACTGTTTCGAAGAAAACCGATAAACCTCATCTGGTAACGTCCTCACAGGCACCCGCACCACGGTACTTGACCACAGTAAAGCAACACCCTGATAAACTTCAATCAAGAGTAAACAAGCAAGAACCGTGAAAAAGGAATATATTTTCAACGATGGTTACAAAGAACACTACAACAGTCAAGCGCTTAAAATTGAGGTCACAATTAAAATCAGTATGACTTTTCTTACCATAAGACTCATTCACATATTTTGTCTTGGACAAAGTGTCAAACAGTCAAGAGCGTAAAATTGAAGTCAAAATCAAAATCTGTACAACTTTTCTTACTTGTACATTAATTGACATATTTTGTCTTAATCGAAAAAAAAAACCAACCCAAAGACAAGACATGTTGACCCACGGAGATAAATCAATTTTCAGTATTACAAACTGAAAGAAAAGACATGTTGACTCACGGTGATTAATCAGTATTCAGTAATACAAACTAAAGCCTACTGATGGGCAGTACGATTTACGTATTGTCAAAGGCGACCAAAGAAGCGTTGGCTCATGCGCCTTCAACCCTTAACTCAAGTAGTGACCATGCGTTGCTACTGCTGAGGTGCACTTCCCAAGTCGGTGAGTGGGACCACATGATATTTGTAGTTCTGCCCGTAGCTGACCCACTGGGTGACTCCCGAGTCCCACTTCACCTCGGCCCGGAGGTTTTCCTCGTACCAGACACGTACAGTGCCGGGCCTCGGCGGGGTCCCGTCGTAGGTCCACGTCTTGCCCCAGTGGGGCCCCCGGACGACCCTCGTGCCGACTGGCAGGGACCTAGCGGCGCCGCTTGAGCGCTCTTGCGAACACGGAGCTGCGGGGGAAAGAGATCACCGTTACACAGTGGGCCAGAAGACCGGCGCCGTCTGCCAAAACTCTAGACGCGTTTTGAGCTCCAGGGTCGCAAAGCAGGACTCGAAGCGAAACACTACAAATCCAAAGGTCAGGCTTCTCACCAGTCCAGAGGCGAGCCATAAAGTTTCGCCAAGTTGTGGTCAGGCCTGGAAGTCTCGCCAAAATTTGGTCAGACAAGAAAGTCTCAGCACAAACGTCTCCCCATTCTGTGGTGAGACGTCTGTGTCTGCCCATTTTGTGGCGAGACTTTTTTGTCGGACCAAACTTTGGCAAGACTTACAGGTCTAACGGCGACACTTTAAGTCTCGCCGTATTGTGGCGCGAAGTCTTTCCATCCAATTTGCAGTGATGTGTGACCCCACCAATGGATTCCTCGTTCGGAGTGCAATCCACTGCTGGGGTCACCTCACTCGGTTAGATCCCCATTTAGCGACCCTGAAGCTCAAACCGCGTCTGAAGTTTTTGACGTTCATGAACAATTTAGTACGTGTACGATGTATGATTTTAATCCTGGGTAACGTTTTGCGCTCTTAAAAGCCTACAAAGCATTCGCTTCACAACTACAAAGTAAATGAAGGCAAGGAATGATTCGGACTACCAAGGATTTTGCTTCATAATTCGAAGCACTTCTTCGTAGATTTTACATTGCCTACACTTCCTTCGTAGGACGAAGCGATTCTTCGCAGGGATTTTTGGCTGAGCGATAGCGAAGCCTGTTACTCCAGTGGGGTTGAAAAATTTTTCCTGTCTGTCTGTCTGTCTGTCTGTCTGTCTGCGTGTGCGTGTACACTACTCCTCCTGAACGGCTCGGCCGATCTGGCTGAGATTTTGCAGGCTTATTAGGTATGTTCTTGGCTCGGCACACGCGAAATTTCACCATCCTAGCTCAACTGGTTCAGTTTTTATAGCCGAAAAACACCTAAAAAACGGCGAAAAATCGAGTTTTCTGCAGGTAGATCACCTGTCTTGAAGAAAGGGGGGTCTGGGGGGCGGAGCCCCCCAGCTTCGTCAAGTTAAAAAGTGACAAGGGTCAAGATCGTGTTATCTGTAGATGTAGCAACTCTATCTTGAATTAAGGGGGGTCTGGGGGGCGGAGTTCCCCAGCATGCAACACGTAGGAAGTAACCGACGATGGACAAGCCAATGCCTGCCGAAGGCAGGCTAGCGCCGCAGGCCAAGGTAGGTACGCCAGGCGCGGATTGGAGGAACAGGCCGCGAGACATCGCGAAGCCTGTTACGACAAGACGCGGTCTGGCGTAAACCTACCTTGTACAGTGTGCATAAAATTGTGCTCAAAATTGCATGAATTTAAGCATTTAAGGCAATTTTAGGCAAATTCCACGAAGGCGTGCAAGTTAGTCGTACAAAATTCTTCATAAACAAAAGTGCCATCCTCACTGCCTTAACAGTGCTTGCGCAGAAACGAGTAATGATGCACCTGTCAGCGTAGTTGACAGAAAGGGCACACACTACAAATTGCTATGTCCTTTTTTGGTGCACAAGCTTTGCACAAAACCACGCATGAGTTTTAAAATGAACGAAAGTGTGCGTCGTTGCGCACGAATTCGAGCGTTTCACGCGCATGCTCGAAAAAAGTACGTAAAGTAAGTACGTAATAACTTAGAGTGCACACTCTAAATGTTCTACAGTGAAGATTCTCCATATTATGGGGAAAATGTTCCATATTATGGTGCTGCAGCTGACTTCGTAACATACCATTCAGAATTCACTGTACCTTATAGATATTTTAACGAATTTGGTAGGTATTATGGAGAAAATTCCCACCATAATATGTTGGTGCAGCCTTTCACCGTACGACATTTACAGTGCATGAAAGAAACAAGCCGTGGCGAGAACTCACCCGGCGCTCGCTGGCCCAGCCCCTCGATCATCGAATGGCGTCGCTTCGCTCCGTGGCGTTCTTCAGGCACTTGCAGCGCCCCGCCACTCGGAAGGCGGCTCAGCACCAGGCGGGCCTGCGCGGGGTCCGCGAGCTCCACCGAGCTGCGGGAAAGGGCTGCAAAATCGGAACACACACTGTAAACCTTGATGCGTGCTGATTACACACATGGAGGAACACACTGAGTACTTGAGAGAGCGCTGCACTCCTAACACCTTAATAGCTATTTTGGACCTGACAAAGAAAAGCAGCTTCTTGTTACAAAGTATTTTGAGCATAAATAAGCTTTCAAAGAAAATACTGCGTAATTTACGAACTATTTTTTTCGTATCAGTGGCCGTTGGGCATAAGGGCGTAAGTCACATGGGAAACCCATTGAAAATAGGTTGTTCTGTCCGATGACCACTCGTATAACGAAGTAAATTAGTTTGTACTCTGCAAACTCAAGTGTGTGCCAGGCATGCACTTCTTGGTGCATGCCTGCAGGCACTCACTTCTTTTCTGCATGCCTGTAGGCACACACTTCTTTGCCGCATGCCTGGCAGGCACACACTTCTTTTCGGCATGCCTGCAAGCACACACTTCTTTTCTGCATGCACTGTAAAAAATTTTGACACGAATTCTCGTGTTGTGGCTAGTGAAACGCCCCTTCTTAGTTATACTCTTAATGAATTTTGTGTGCCAGTGGCAATGAAACTTCATTCGCCATGGCACACTAAATTTTGCTGGCCACTGGCGATCAGAAGGCTTCTTTCCTACGCCAAATGGCAATTTTTGAGTCGTGGCGCTGAAAAGTATGCTCGGAACCAATATTGTGAACTTTCAAGTTTGGCGAGGAGAATTCGTCTCGGGCCGATGAAAAAAGCGGCACAAGCGTTCGGTATAGAACCCGAAACTTCAACTTGGATGTCTTGTGCCTTGACCTCTCGGCCACCGCACCACTGCTGGGTGGAGCGCTCAACAGCGCTTTAATATGGACTCGCGAGGATTAGTCTGGCCACCACCACGTGTGGCGAAGCAAAGCATTCTTCCCTTAGCCACGACTTGAAATTTCTTAACTGTCGTCTGAGTTGGATGCCTTTTCAGTGCCACACCTATGATTTTTCTCCGCCAAGGGGCTGTCAAATTTAAATTCGTGGCGCAGGAAAGCATCGTTTTGTTAGCCAAGTGGTAAATTTCACATTTCGACTTGAAATTTTTTAAGCCAATGGCTCTATATATTAGATCTCGTGGTTTGGAAAGTGGCCTTTCCATAGCCAGTGGCGCTTTAAACACACTTTCGTGTCTGGCTAAGAAAATTCAAAAAGCCATTGGCTACATAAATTTAAAGCTATTTTTTACAGTGTGCCTGGCAGGCACACACTTCTTTGCCGCATGCCTCAGGCACACACTTGCCGTCGCTAATGCATGCATATGCATACAAGCAAGTGTGTGCCTGAGGCATGCAGAAAAAAGGTGTGTGCCTGCAGGCATGCACCAAGAAGTTCATGCCTGGAACGCACTTGAGTTTGCAGGGTACTATTTGATCTCAAGAGTACTATTTGATCTCAAAATACTTCGTAAGGTGGTAAGCATTTGAGTACACACAAAGAAAAGTACGCGCACGGACGGGTCTCGTCAGTTGGTAACGGTGAGTATACACCGTCACACTTAACACATGTGGACTTTAAGGGGGGACCCTGGTGAAAAAATGGTCAAAACTGCCAAAAATAGTATTTTCAAAGTTCATAGATAAAAAGTGCATAGAGGGTTTCAGATTCAACAGGTTGAACACCTTTAAACTATGTAGGTAGTTCCTTCATCATTCGGAAAGGAATAACATTGGGATCAGTTGTCGTTGGCTTATACGCTCAACTTCACAGCTTTGCTCAGCCGACAAAAAGTTTTGTCAGAGAAAGACTTTCTGTGTTCCTGGTTGACACCTACATGAGTCGTCTTGCATAGACTCTATTAATTGATGACTTGTCGACAAATTTTAGTGACGGAATCTTGATATAAGCCCTATTTTGTTTTACAAACACCTAAAAGTTTGAAAAAAAAGGCGAAATATTCACTTTTTTTTAAATGATAAAATTTGACAATTTATATCTCAGGACAGAAGTTGAAATTGAAAATTCCGTCACTAAAATCTATTTTATACATCTTTAGGATAACTCAAAAAAATTTTAAGACTTTCCGTTCCAATGAAAGACGCAGGAAGATTTTTCCCCAACGCTCTAAAAAACCCTAAAAAGCCACTTTTCTCAGAGACCGTTCAACATTTTGGATTAAATTTTGTATTGGGAACTCACCATAATGAACCTTATGACTAAGCAAAGTTTCAACTTTCTGGGATTATTATAAAGCCTACTTGAAAGTTTCGCCAGGGTCCCCACTTAATATGCATAAGCAAGAGAGAAAAAGACAATTAGTGGACAAAAATGTCACTACGAGGCTGAGAGTGTGCATCACCAGAACCATTTATGCAGGAAGATGCACAAGCACACCTTGCCTACGTATCTGAGCGGCGAGAGTGAAGCGTCTGTAACGCGGCGTTTCGAGAGGCGTCTCAGGCGAACTCCCGACCGGCATCCTGGGTGAACCTCCGACTTGCTTCCCGGGCGAACTTCCGACTGGCCTCTTGGGTGGACGTCCTCTGGGCCTCTTAGAAGAACTCCCGACTGGCTTCTCGGGGAAACTCCCAACTGGCCTCTTGGGTGAACTCCCGACTGGCTTCTTGCGTGGACGTCCTCTGGGCTTCTTGGCCGAACTCCCGACTGGCTTCTCGGGGAAACTCCCAACTGGCCTCTTGGGTGAACTCCCGACTGGCTTCTTGCGTGGACGTCCTCTCGGCTTCTTGGCCGAACTCCCGACTGGCTTCTCGGGGAAACTCCCAACTGGCCTCTTGGGTGAACTCCCGACTGGCTTCTTGCGTGGACGTCCTCTCGGCTTCTTGGGTGAACTCCCGACCGACTCCTTGGGCGGCCGTCCGACTGGCCTCCTAACTGGCGCGGAGTGCACCCCCAGCGCACCGCCACTCACGAGGCGGCCCAGGAGCAGGCGGGCCTGCGCGGGGTCCGCGAGCTCCACCGCGCTGCGGGAAAGGGCTGCGCAATCGGAACACACCGAGGGGCTTAACACTCGTGTAATACCTTGTTAACAAACACCGTGTATTACGCGTAATACACGTAATTGTAATACCATTTTGGGGCAAAATGTGCCAAATTTTGGCATTTTAAGGGGGGACCTTGGGGAAATTTTCAAGTAGGCTTTAAAATAATCCCAGAAAGTTGCAACTTTGCTTTGTTCTATGGTTCATTATGGTGAGTCCCCAATACGAAATTTAATCCAAAATGTTGAATGGTCTCTGAGAAAAGTGGCTTTTTAGTGTTTTTTAGAGCGTTGGGGAAAAATCTTCCTGCGTCTTTCATTGGAACGGAAAGTCTTAAAAATTTTTATGAGTTATCCTTAAGATGTATAGAAGAGATTTTAGTGACGGAATTTTCAATTTCAACTTCTGTCTTGAGATATGAATTGTCAAATTTTAACATTTGAAAAAAAAAGAGTGAATATTTTGCCTTTTTTTCAAACTTTTAGGTGTTTGTAAAAAAAAATAGGGCTTATATCAAGATTCCGTCACTAAAATTTGTCGACAAGTCATCAATGAATAGAGTCTATGCAAGATGACTCATGTAGGTGTCAACCAGGAACGCAGAAAGTCTTCCTCCGACAAAATTTTTTGTCGACTGAGCAAAGCTGTGAAGTTGAGCGTTTAAGCCAACGACAACTGATCTCAATGTTATTCCTTTCCAAATGATGAAGGAACTACCTACATAGTTTAAAGGTGTTCAACCTGTTGAATCTGAAACCGCACATTTTTGGCCCGTCCCGTTCATTTTTTTGTAAAAAAATGACGGAGGGACGGGCATATAGTATGATGCCTGCTGTGCGTCCGTCCGTCCGTTCGTCCGTCCGAGGACTTCCCGTGGTCCGATCTTGACCAAATTTGGTATGCAGCCTCCTTGGGTGACCCTAAGAACCGCCCGGTGGCAGCAAATCCGATCCGAGCCCCGGGGGCGCTGCTGCAGGTGCATCATGGTCTGCATGGGGTCGAGGAGGATTTCGGCAACGGATGCAGCTAGGAGGGCATGTAGGGGTATTTTTGGAATCGGGGCGACGAGAAAAAACCAATGGTGCCAGTTTCGAGCGAATCGGAGAAGTTCGGACCCGGGTTCAAATCCCAGTGGCGTATATTTTGAACATTCTTTTTATTCGAATTTTTGCATTGTTTCTTATGTTTTTGAGGATGCTGATGACGAAAACGAAATTTATTTTAACCTCAGACTCAGGTTTGAATCCCGTCAGGGTCAATTATGGGCGAAATTCGTACGTTTCTTAATGTACGGGACGGGCCAAAGTTGCCGATTTAAATCGCTACTTTTCCTGTTATTATCTATGAACTTTGAAAATACTATTTTTGGCAGTTTTGACCATTCTTTCACCAGGGTCCCCCCTTACTGCTATAATACACGCGTAATATCCCCGTATTACAGCGTAACACCGAGTACTCTGTACACGATCTGTTGGAGTGTGTACCCCCTCGGAACACACACTGTTAACCTTGATGTGTATTGAGTACACACATGGAGGCACACACAGAGTACTTGAGAGAGTGCTGCACTCCCAACACCTTAAACTACTATCCCACACACAAACCGAGCATGCAGATCAAGCATTTACCTGTCAAAACAGGCTAAAACTGGGCAAAATGTAACTTCCGTGCTGTCCATTGTCCAAAAACTCCCTTGGACAGCAATTTATTCCTGTGACTTAGTTGTAAGTTTTTTAAGCTGACCCCTAAACATTGATTATTTTGTACATTATTGATCAATTACAGAGAAATGCTTGGTAAGAAAGCTTGCGAATAAAACGGTAATTTACATTTTGAGTTGTGCATGCCGGCATCTTTTAAAAATGAGTCAAAGAAGTGAAAAATGTCAAGGCCAACCTTTTACGACAAAATACTATGCGCAAGAAGATGTTTGAAGTTAAAGCCTAAATAGGAGAAAAAGGCACTGCGACTGGGTTCAGGGCATAGAATGTGCCTCCCCAATGAAAAATTTTAATAATTACTTGGTAAGACATCAAATTTTTAACTAATTTTCACAGTGGGACCTATTTAGGAGCAAATAGCATTTTCACCAGAACCTCCCCTTAACCATAGCGCATTTACCGCTTTATTAGCGTAGTTATTATTTTATCACACCAAAACTGTGATAATCTGGGCCCAGACCGGCCAAAACCTAGGAGACTTATAGCATTTTTAATGCGATAATTTTTTTTATTACTGCCACCGCTGCGATAATTTGAAGGAACCACATTTGCCTTTTTATCGCAGCAAATTGCATCAAACTAATCACATCAGTAATATCAGTGTGAGTACAAACACTGGCTAATTAAGTTGAAACCATAAAACACACCCCGGTCCATTAGTAGCTGCGCTTGCTTACCCGCCTGCTTGGCCTGCTCCCAAGCGTCCGGACTCGCCCCCATGGCCTCCTGCAGACGAGCCCTGGCTGCGGCCAGGCCGGCCCGCTCTTCGTCAAGGCACTCGACGAGGGCCTTCCCCAGCTTGTCCAGCCTCTCCTCGGCCCGCCGCAGCGCCGCCAGCACGGGCCCCGCATCCTGCGCGCGAGCTCTCCGCAGGCTGAGCACCTCATGTTGCTCGTCTTCGCACGTTGTTGTGGCAACTCTATTGCACTTTTTGCAGTGCATCTGCATAGGCCTCCTGAGCGGAATGAGTTTGGTGAGCTTGGTTGACCCCTCGTCAGCGTATCTACCGTGGGATTGGCTAAGAAGCTCTCTCAGACCTCTATGGACTCTTTTATCTTTACCTACGCACAATTTAGATCATTTTCGGAGTGAAAGTTTCAATAGATCATATAGAAAATGAAACTTACATTGCAGATGATAAAAAGTCAGGTTTAATGGACTAAACACATTATACAATGAACAAAACGGTGCGTAGCTTAAGAGAAAATAGTACTTATTACGTTTGCACAAAAAAACTTTATGGCCAGAGAGAAAAAAGTTAATGCGAGACTGAGAATGAATGGACCGCTAGGAACAGGACTTACTGGCTACAGAGCTTGATCACGGTGAAATTGTCAGCGAGTGCGTCGGCCGAGCCAAAGAAGGGCTGCAACAGAAAAAAAAAACAAAAAAAAAAACTTGACTACCACACTTTAGCCTCTTACTGACTTTATCGTCAGTAAACCAGGTAGTATTGCCTACAACAGTAATATGTAGAAATTTCTTCTTTGACACGTACAATGTATTACTTAAAATTATGTGGGAAGTTTTTTCTGTCAATAAGTAGTAACAATTATGGAAATAAAAAATAAGGGAGGGTGGGGCGATTTGTAACATGTAACAGATTTCGGAATTCTCTATACAAAATAAAGAACATTCTGCATATCGGTTCCAAACTTGTGCCAGTTGAGCAGTCTGGCCCTTTAACGTGACTGTACAGCTCCATTGGATCAATCTGGAATCCGTAATCTTGGAAATCTAAGACGCTTTCCAAACCCTGGCATGCTGTTACGAATCGCCCCAGCATGGGGTGATTTGTAACAGCCTTAGGGCTTTTCATAACATCCTACACATTATACTAGGATTCAGGATGGAAGGCGGCTCGGCAATCTTTGTCGCCTTGCTACGCCTCCCCAGCTACCGCAACAACATTTCTGACCTGGCCCGTGCTGGACCCTTCGACACGGGCCCCCGGACCCCGCCCCTTTGTGCGGGTGGAGCGCGACCCTCGCAGTCAGAACAAAAGGCAGAGGAATAATAATGGCCTTTTTACTTCTGCACCAAACCGAAACTTAAATATTGAACTCAAATTAAAACTAATACTTGTTGTAAAACGTTAATAACATTTTATGGAGGGTTGTGCAAACGGCATGTCGCTACGACAATTTTGACGGATTTTAGGGAAAGACTATCCAAAACTTAAATTGACTAAAAATGACACAACCTTCAACTTTTTTTCAAACCAAGTCGGTTTTTTCTCGTGAGTCCAAATAAACGCTCAGTTTGTACAAATTTTTTAAAATTTCTGAGACTTTTGAACGGTCATTATAAATGCAAAGAGACAAAAGGCGGGGACTCTCGACCCACACCACCCTCGCCCGGACTTCGGGCCAGAGTCAGGTAGTCGGCCGTCATCTACCACCGCACCACCGCCAGCCGCCTTCCATCCTGAATCCTAGTATAAATGAAGCATCGTCGGGAATGTCATCTCCTCCAGCAGTTGTTCTTCGGATGTCCTGCAGACGCCTTAAAATCTACATTACAAGCTGCCGTTGACCGCCTCAGCATTAAGGTTACTGTAAAGTGAAAAAAATGTGAAATATCATTTTTCAAAATAATTGTGGCATCATGTTTGTATTTAGGTTTCAGGTTGCTTACTATAAGATGAACTTAAACCCAAAGTTGAGGCACTCAACTCCCATTATTTTCTGAGTTATTGAAGTTTACGTAACAAAGTTAGTCGTTAACTAAAAATTCTCCTTGCGATGAACCAAAAGTTGTCGAGACTTGATTTTTGTTTTACAAGTTCTTTATTGATTTGCCTATCTCGTAGCAAAGCCGGATTTCCAAAATTCCAACATGAAACAGGAATTTTTCTCAAAAAACACAAAAAAACACCAAAAAATTGCAAAATTTTACCAAATTTCAGTAAAAAATTCAAAACGCATTTTCCAAACAGAAATTGCAGCTTATCTATGCATATATTGTGAAATCCGGCTTTGCTAGTCTGTTTGCATGTTCATTGGGCCTTAAAATAAAAAATCACACCTTCGTAAACTTTTTGGTTCATCGCAAGGAGAATTTTTAGTAAACGACTAAAATAACACTAAAACCCTCATAACTTTGGAACTAATGGGAGTTGGGAGTCCAGTCTGTGGCTGTAAAAGTTTTTTATAGTAAGCAACTAAATCACCAAAAACCAAAGCACTGCCACCTATACTTTAGAAGATAGTTTTTTCACCTTACAGTAACCTTAACTAACCGGCTATGTCAACCCTTACCTCACTGTTTTCAATTTTGGAGAAAAGAATAGAATAACTCGCTTTAAAATGCATTTTGAGCTGTGTAAATGTATTGGAATTAGGCAGCAGATGTTTCGAGAAATAATGCAAGCATTTAATTGCAAAAACTACTTCAATTCTTGTTTTTATACGGGTCTGTTACGAATCACCCCAAATCCCTGTTACGCAAGAAATGCGTCCCTAACTATCACTGGACAAAGAAAAAACAGCTTATGCCACGTGGTTACATTGTAAAGGGGTCACGCTTCAAGGCCCCAACGGTACTTCGATGGTGATTCATACCTGGGGAGCCTCAGACAGAAACTTCCTAGAGCTCAAGATAAAAGATTTGCCTGTTTTCGGTGTACCCTATATTTCAGACGCCCTCCAAAACTATACCTGAGCACCGATCACATCCGCTTGGATTGTTTATGGACCCTCTACTTGAAGCGAAAGAGGGGCCATACTCAGATTTTCCTCTGCTCCCTCCACTTAAATTCACTGGTACTTTGACATAGTGACGAATGTCCACAATATCTGATTTTTCAGGAGAGCCAAAACAAGTTTAAAAATTGAGCTGGAAGATAGAGGTATTGGATTTGATTGTAAAATTTTATACCTCAGACTCCTGAAGGAATACGTGTTCTTTGGGTTCAAGAGCCGTTGCAATCGGCAGCTTGGTTCCCGAGATAGTGGACATTCGTCATTTCTCAGCGTACGAAACTTAGGCCAAATGGACGAAAGTCCGCCGTACTTTGACAAAATGACGAAAGTCCAACCGTACTTTGACAAAATGACGAATGTCCAACCGTACTTTGACAAAATGACGAATGTCCCAACTGCAAAAAAAACGGATATAGTCTATCGGTGCGTTCCCAACAAGAGGAATATCCATGAAAACAGTGACGGCATGATCATGGAACATGCCCGGGATGAAAACTTTCATTTATTTTGTGTTAACAGTAAAGTTGGACTTTCGCCATTTTGTCGAATTACACATGGACATTCGTCATTTTGTCAAAGTACGGTTGGACTTTCGTCATTTTGTCAAAGTACGGCGGACTTTCGTCATTTTGTCAAAGTACAGCTGGACTTTCGTCATTTCGAAGTATTTTCCTGCGCCGAATCTAGAAGAGATATCGATACATGCTTTTCACCAGGCGATAGTAAATCAAAAGTTCTATAACGCAGCCAAAAATCTCATTTTATCAAAATTTTGGACATTCGTCACTATGTCAAAGTATCAGTGAATTAATAAACGCATTTGTTACGAGTCGCCCCTGTTACAAATCGCCCCACTCTCCCTACCTTTAACCATTCAAACTCACCAGAGAGTCATTGGGGCACGTTTTGGTCGGGAGCCGTTTGAGGCATTGTAAGCAAAATGAATGCCCGCAGGGCAACGTTTTGGGCCGGTGGTCGGCGACATTGAAGTTTTCCAAGCAAATTTGGCACTCCATCTGGAACAGAAAATGGCACTTGTGTCACCGGTTTGCCCGACTACCCGTGAGTGTGCAGACAAGTTTTGAACTTGCCCCATGAAGTGAAAATTGCACCAGAACTTGGTGGAGTCAAAACTCAAGGCTGAGCCCAAGTTAAAAATGTCCTATTATTGATTTACATTAAGTTTCAAAGTTAAAATGCGTGCGAAAATAAGCTGGGAAAGGCGGGGACTAATCCCTGTCAAAGCAGAAGTCAAAGATGAAGGGTCCATGAGTATCAACATGGATAAATATGTTCATACAAGTTACGAACGCAAATCGTCCAGTTCTCAAAATGGTCGCCTTTACTCAAAGTTACTTAGATAACGACATTATTTACCCTTATTTACCGTTGGACCTTCTGAAATGTACTCTCGTAGAGGGACGATATAACGTAACGTTACGCTGGCTCAGACCCCCTGTCCCCCCATGCAGCGCAGCGTTATGTGGAACAGATACACCCCCTCCCCTCTCCCCCCTTAGATGCGTAACGTCCCCGTGAGATGGAATCAAGCGCTACGAATAGGGTACTCCAATGAATCTTGAATCGAAAGAAGAAAAACCAAGGTAAGCCCTAAAAACAGCTTCAGCGCACGAGCAGGGGTTCCCGCACCACCAGGTGCGTATGCGCAGAAGCTGTTTGTAGGGCTTACTCCAGTTCATCATCTTCCGTTTCAATAATCATTGAAGTACACTATAGGAAGAAGGAAGTAGGATGCATTGCGCTCAGCCAGTGGGATGAGAGTCTAATCTTACATCAGGTCGAAGATTAGACACTGCTTCTTCGTCTTGAGTGACGACGCCGTATCTACACTCAGACGCGTGCTCTCGACTACCTTACGCCAGACTGGGACTCTTGGCGCAGCATCCGTTGGAAACGAATCACCACGGGGCACGCTCCGTATGCAGGTGCTCTTAGGCGGTAGAAGCAGGACCTACGGAGAGAGAAGAAATTCGTGAGGGTTCGTCAGAGACGACTTGGAACGGAAGTTGAGATGAAATCAAGAAGAACACAAGCCGGCCTTTCTCACAATTTTCTTTTACTGCGTTCTTCTTGATTATCGTCTCTACTTCCGTTCCTGCTCTTCGAAATGACCAGTTGAGGCAGTTGCCGTCGATCTATGATGAAATCTCTCCCAACAGCTCGATCAGAGGGTCGTTTCCGATTTCTGCCTAGGTTCATCCAGATGCTTTCTTCTTCATATTTGCGATGCACCAATAGACTATTCTAGTCGTAGCTGAGTGAAGAACAAGAAGAATCACAAAAGACGCCATTTAGGGCATTTAAAGTGAATATATTTGATGAAATATGTTGCATTTACTAGAAAATATTTGAATTAACTTCTAGTAAGCAAGGGGACTTGAACATTTGAAGCAAAAGTGCAAAAAAGTACACTTTTGTGATTCTTCTTGTTCTTCACTCAGCCACGACTAGAATAGTCTATTGAAATAGGATCTTCTGAATTTGTTTTGCGCTTCCGGTCCACTTCGCCCATCGATTTAAATGCGCTGAGCTGTATAGCGTTTGGAGTACTTCAAAGAAGTTCTGGCCCGGAAGAAGAAGAACAAAAACGGAAGTAAAAAATTGCAGTATCTATTGGAAATATACGCTGCGCATGAGGGCCCGCAGCGTATATATCTCATAGTTACTGCAATTTCTTACTTCCGTTTTTGTTTTTCTTCTTCCGGGCCAAAGCTTCTTTGGAGTACTCTATTGGTTCCGTAGTGGGCAGGTCGAGGCAATCAAGCGGATTCTTGAGAGGCGAACCAGACCGGAAGTCAGCAATAGGGTACTTTTGAGAAGAGCTGGAACGGAAGATGAGAAGAAATAAATAAGAACAATGTATGGGAAATTGGTGAGGAAAAGTGTCTGCGTCGCCGTTCTGCCGCATCCGCAAAGTTATATTCTCGCACATAAGCAGCGTTTGTTCTTCTTGATTTCTTCTCAACTTACGGTTCAGGTTTTCTCCGAAGTACTCAATCGAACGGGGAAAACAAACGAGCGTCGCGCAGCCCTGCTGAGCGGTGGTTGGTTGGGGCCGTAGTGCGCAGAGGAAGGGTAACTTGCCACTCTGCCTATTTCGTCCCAGTTGAAGTATTATTCGACAGCCGCTATGGATCCGTACTTTAATCTGTGTACCTGTAAAAATGTACCTAGTACCGGTAGTTCATAAACCATCTTCACTGCAAATCAGTGAATCGAAATACAATGCACCGGTAGGGGTATATTGGGTAAGAAAAGTACACGCGAAGCTCGGGTAAGAAAAGTACACCCGTTATATCTCCGAACTGAAACTACGCTGAACGTTAGTGGTTTTAGAAAGATTGGTCATCCCGCTGACAAAAAATAAATTTAGCCCAGTTCTACATATAATATTTAGAATCAAACTGCACGTTTGAAAAACACATTAAAAATAACTATGAAAATATTTTTTTTAAATGTTTGTACTTTTAAGTACAGCTTCCTGCAGAATCAGCCGACACCACCTTATAGCTGAGACCATCATCTTTGAAAAACAGTGCCGTTCGATGCTCTTAGGCTTCAACACAATTTAATTATGAGTGTAACAATGAAATGGGGAAGAAAAGTACAGTCGGCTGGGGAAGAAAAGTACAGGTATTGGGGAAGAAAAGAACACCCTCTAAGAAACTAAAACCGGGATGAAAATTGAATTGATCACGGAAATAGATATGATTAGGCGAGACAAGCAAAAAATGTCAACACAAGTTATAGAATTAGACTCGAAATAAACAAGTTATTGGGCATTTACGTGAAAAGGGGAAGAAAAGTACAAAAATGCTGTACCCACTTATCTCTGAGAAAACGCTTTTTGGACCTTCTGTAATGAGTCCATGTAGAATCAGAACCAATTGACCGATTTTGACGAAACTTGAACTAATGGCAAGTGAAAGCTCTCCACTTTAAGGGTAAACGTGTACTGAGCCAAGATTGGTGGTCTCCTGGTTCGAACTCGTAATTCTTTTCGTTGTACTTTTCTTTTCCGGTGGTGTACTTTTCTTACCCTTTTCGAGGAGTTCCGAAATCACATACATTTTGGCATGTTGTACGTAATGTGGGGAACTATAATCAATGAACAGTGATCCATTTCATTAGGAAGGAATTGGATTACATGTGCAGAATAGTTGAATCCTCATTTGGAACTTCTGTACAGCGCAAAGTACGCGTTTTGTACTTTTCTTCCCCAACCTACCCCTAAAACAAAGGCATAAAAATACGCCCTTAAGGGCATACTCTTTTACGCCCTTGCAAGGGCATAAATGGTTTTATGCCCTTGGGCAGGACGTAAATGGTATAGCAATTTCAAGCAAAATTTTAATGCCCTTTCCAAAGGCATTAACGATTTATGCCCTTCAAGGGCGTAAATCGTTTACGCCCTTAAAGGGCATAATCGTTATGCCTTTGTTTCACCAGTGTGTCCACACTCTTAAAACCTTGCGAAGCATGTGTTCGCATTACAAACCATTTAGTTCGCAGCTTGCGAAGAGTTTGGCTTGATTGTATTACGAACTAATAGTTCGCAATTTTGCGAACAATGTGTTTGTAAGGGCTTCGCAATACAAACACGTTGTTCGCAAATTGCGAAGCACCTCTTCGCAAGTTGCGAACTACTGATTTGCAATATGGATGGGTTCTTCGCATTGCAAACAAGTGAGACACTCCGCAAGCTTACAAACACATCGGTTCGCAAGGTTTTAAGAGTGCACGTTTTTGTATATGGATGTAACTTTCTTAGAAGCCCTTCAGCAAGTAAATTTACGAAGTATGTTGACGTCACGAGCTTTGAGAAAAGACCGCTTTTCACGTCATGAGCAGTTGGGATAGTTCTGAACTGACACGAAGAGTTAGGATTGTCTTGGATGAACTCTGGCAGTTAGGATTGTTTTATCAGGATGCGTCGACATAGGGTAAAGTGCCGAACATGGATCGGGGTACCAAACATGGATCATTTCTGTTTGGGGGTCTATATCTAGAGACCAGGTGACGAGATTATATATTTCTGTCTTTCCTTGCTTAGACTGACCCTTTGACTGTTCGATGTGAATCTGACAAGTTTGCAACTGCGTCTCTTAACTCTGCAGGGTTGCGTTTAGAAAGACGCCTAAGACAGAACCCCGAAAATTGATGAAAAAATGACGTTCAAAAACGTAATTTTTGCACCCCTGATTCTGGGCCAAGCAATCACCGCAGTCACTTCAAAATTTTTCATCGTGCACTTTGAACAGACTACATTGATATTTTGGGACTACCGAATGCATACCTTGCTTTGTGTCCGTACGCTGGTGGGGTGATCCATGATTAGACCACCCTAACCTAACCTTAGCAAAAATAGCCATATTTTCTTGCCCTCACAACTTCCAAAGTATTCGAGTTAGAGGTACCATTTTTGGTAGCCATATGACCAGTAGGGTAAACATCAACATTAGATTCAAATTTAGTAGTCAACCCATACTTTATTTCTATACAGAGAAGATTATTTAAAAAGTGATCCATGTTTGGCAACCTTACCCCAAGTCCCGAAAGACCGGCAACTTTCGATGTGAATTTCTTGTTATGCCGCTTTTTTGGCGTGACTTTCTTTTGAAACGCGTTATCATTCATGCAATGACGGCGTGAAGCACGATATCATGTCTTTTATGGCGTGATTTTCGGGTCACGCCATAACCACGCCAGTATATCGCGAAGCCCATAGGGCATTTCCTCGACTCTTGATACTGAAGGAAGAAGAACTCAAGTGGGTGCACAACTTTCCGTCCCCTCACTTTCTCAGGACGTTACTGACTTTTTCCTCATTAATTTCGGATTCGTATAAACGACAATAACACATAGTATTTTCTAAGTAAGTAAGACTAATTTCCCTTGTAAAATTATGTACAAAACAAAATTCTCAGGACAATAATTAATATTTCCTAAGCAGTTCATTAAAAAAAGAAAAGAACGTATTATGGTTGCACTAATTACTTGCGTACGTACTGTCAAAATGAGCATAAAGTTAATAACGTGCTGAGAGTGCACCGGAGGAAGGGTAAAAGATGGCTGCCGCCCCTGAGACCCCCTCCTCAGGCGAGGGGACGAAAGTTGTGTACTTACTTTGTGTTCTTCTTCCTTCCGTTTCAAGAGTCACGGAAATACGCTTACGACAAGACACGGTGGCGTACACCTAAATTTTCAGATTTTTTAAAAATTGATTGTTTTTTAACCCCACCCGAGTAACAGGCTCCGTTATTAAAAGGCAAGTCAACAAGGTATAGTAAAGATTAATCAGTGTTTTTTTTTTTAAAGAGAGTGGCCGAATGTTGATTGTGTAATAGTGACACGCTACAGCCGTCGAACATGCAACCATTTTCCACCAGAGCTCAGCAGTGTCATTTCCTCTTGCGTCCATTCACCGGCGGCCGACGTCAGTCCGCCTCTACTCGGCTCGGGCACACGCGTGCCAGGGCCAGCGACACACCCATGCCGCCGCTCGCCGCGCTGCTTCTGGCCCCCGTCCTCCTCAACCTCGCTTGCGGCAAGACCATCAACACGTATGCCGTACGTTGTTTCCGCGTAGCAGGAACTGTGACGTTAACCCTCACAGAGAATCTTGTCACTTTCGTTTTCTCACTGCAAACCCAAGTGTATGGACAGGTGGACACTGTAAGGCTTAGACCAGTTTGTCCTACGTTTGAAAGAGTGTCGACCAGCTGTGTCCGACGTCAGCATGTGTAGGGCACTGTTTGTCCTACGGCAAATTACACTAAGTTTCCTATTGTGGCCCCACACTTCAGCCGTCGGACATGCTCTTGCAGGCATCGACGTTTTCAGTCGTATGATAGTAGAAGGGTTTTTTTTTTCTGACCCTAAACCGAAGGAAACGTTACTTAAATTTGACCTGTCCGGTTGTGGTGAACATACTTACAACTCACGCCGTTTCTTTAAGACTTTGGTGTGCTCAAATATTTCCGAAGTTGGTTTTAGATCAGTAATGAGGCCATATTCACGTTCTTCTGGCAATTTTACAAAATCAATCTAAATTTTCAACCACTTAGCACCAAAGCCTCGGCTTAGTTAAGTAACTCCCAAATTCAAGTGAATCGGAAGTGACGAAGTCGGAAGATATTCTTTTTCTCAGTCTCTAAATGGTCGGAAGGGGTAAAGCCAACGGGAAGGCGTTGTACGTATTAAATAATTGAGGTGTGTGCAAGTCAGGGTTCGCGCAAAAAGTTTCTTTGTTTGTTTTCTAAGTGCACTGGTAAAACCAAAGCGTAACTCTATGCTTGAGTCAAGCATAAAGTTATGCTGGAAGACGTTACGTTTGAAATAAAGCATAGACTAGAAATTCTCCCATGTTTTCCATAAAGAGGGAATGTTGGCGAATGAACCTGTTACGCTTGATCTCAAGTGTAAACTGATAACGCTTGAAAGCCGACGGTAGTGCCACGCTTTTGTTTTACCATTGTGGGGGCGAGTTGGCATAGGCAGTCAGTGGCGCCCACAGAAATGTCATTTAGGGGGAGCGACTGATATCCAGTCCCTTACAACTCCCTTTTTTCCCTTTTCTTCTTTTTCCTTTCCTTCTTTCCTTTTCTTCCCCTCCTTTCCTTTTTCTCCCCTTTCCCTTTCTCTTTTCCCCTTCCCTTTCCCACCACCGCAACCACCCACCCACCCCAAATCAGGGTCTGCGGCCGCAGACCCTGCACCCACGTGTTGGCGCCACTGATAGGCAGTTAGTATGAGGAGTTGGTCAGCCCAAAGACTGCTAACAAGGCGAATAAACTTTTCCAAACGGTTTCAAACCGATGTTTCGAACATTTTAACCGCTGCTTGTTAATCTGGGGAAAGCTCCCTCAGGGGGAGATTTAGGAAGAAGATTTTCGGTGCGGAATCCGGATACTATACACTGCAATTTGGATGGAAAGACTTCACGCCAAAATTTGGCGAGACTTTTATGTCTTGCCTCTGGAGTGGCGAGAAGTCTGACCTTTGGATTTGTAGTGTATGTGCGGATGTTGCTGAAAAAAACGTGAGTTGCAGACAAAGAGGCAGCGGACGCACGTCCAGCCACTTTTTGGTGCTCTCAAATACGGCAGCGCTTCGCTATCCCTCAGCCAAAAATGCCTCTTTGCTTTGTTTTCCAGCCGCCATCCGGGATGTGTTGGCTTTTGTGAAAGGACCTCGGCGTGACGTGTGCTCGATCCTTGTCGGTTTTCGGGCTTCTGCTGGTGAATGTCCCCATCCCCTCAACACCACCAGCAGATCAACCCCAACCTCCGCTAGAGCCCCTTTACTCTGCAAACTCAACAGTGTAAGTTACTCAGTACGCTCTCTTCATCCAGTGGCGGATTCAGAGTCTGCCCAAGGGTCAAAGTAGCACTTTTTGCTTACTTACAGGGGCAAAGTGGTGCTTTTTGCCCACCTTTCAGGCGGATATCCAGGGGTTGGGGGAGGGAATCCCCCCCCCCCCCCGGTGGATCCGCGCTTGTCTTCAGCGTGTACTGACGAGTACACTTTCTTCAGTACACTCCCACGAGCGTGTACTCAATTGCTTATATTTCCAGGATCTGAGCACTTTCTCCCCTCCCCAGAATTTACTCGTCCAAGCACACTCTCGTTAGAGTGTACTCATCGAAGCACACTTTCGTTGGAGTGTACTTGTGAGTCCACGCTGAACAGAGTGTGCTGAGCACACTGTTGAGTTTGCAGAGCAGTCGCTTTTTGGTGCGCCCAAAAGCAGGCATGGGCTTCGCTATCGCACAGCCTATTATCCCTGTACCTTGACGTTTGCACCCACCAGTTCATTTGTGAAAATTGATCTTGGTGCCCCAGCTACCTATAAATTGTTGACACATTGTGAAAAGTCACTCTGTATTGTAAATCCATGACTCCTTTTCGAAAACATGGTTTTTTAAACAGCTTGTGCCAAAAGTTTTTGTAAATTTACAATAACGTTGTTATAGTGGTTAAAGGAGAATCAGCATTGACAAAATCATCTGGTGACATCGAAAATGTGGTTCTTTTTGGCAGGGTCCGTACATCGCATACGCGACGAGGTTCGACCCATGTCCTTCCGACGGCACTTTCGCAATAAACTTGCGTCCCAGTCACTTTCATCCAGCTAAGCCCTTCGAGAGGCAGACGGTCTCCGGCAATTTCACAATTTTGACTCCGTTTGATGATTCGTATTGGGTGGGTATGAATGATATTACGGTGAACCCGTGGGAACTTTCCTCGTAACTGGTCATTGAGAATGAAAGAGTTGTGATCATGACTAAAATTTTGGGTGAGGAATTCTTTATCACCCAAATTTGCACTCTTAAAACCTTACGAAGTATTTTGAGCATACATATATCAAACTAAAATACTTTGTTATACGAAGAAATAGTTCGTAAATTACGAAGTATTTTCTTTGTAAGCTTGTATGCTCAGAATACTTTGTTATACAAACTACTTTTCTTTGTAAGGCCCAAAATAGTTTGTAAGGTTTTCTCCGTGTGGGTGACGAAGGTTTCTTCACCCAAATTTGGGCCATAATACTACGAAGCCATGTAGGTAGCTGATACACCCTTCCTCAGCTAAATTTGGGCGACGAAGCCATTAATGACTCCAATTTGGGTGAGGAAACCTTATTGGGGTATCGATCAAGACTTTTTCATTATCAGTGATACATGAAAACTGAACTCCTGGCACGAGCTACTGCAGCATCCTCGGATCCGTTATCAGTGCTCGTTTAGCTAGGATTGGTTCTCTTAATTAGGCTTTTTTCTCAGTACGAATTTTAGTTTTGGAATAATCAAGTAATACAGGTAATATTTCCACTGAAATTCAAAGGGTGAGACGTCTCACCAATTTTCGACGATACAAAATGTATCACCGAAAAAACGGTCGTACACGCATGTATCCCCGAAAAACAAGTCGTACACAAATGTATCGCCGAGATTGGCCCTTGTTTTCCTGGAGAAGTATTACCCATTTTTCGGTAATGCATTTGTGTACGACCTTTTTTCCGGTGATACATTTGTGCATGACCTTTTTTTCGGTGAGACATGCGTGTACGACCTGTTTTCCGTGATATCACCCTTTTTCGGTGAGACATCCTCAGAGAGTGAGATGTATCACTATTTGATTTTCAGTGTCGGCAACCATATTTCAATAATCATAAATGAACAGGGCTGAACAAAAAAAACGAGTGTTTAACCTAGTTGAAAAACCTAGTTTATCAGCCCTTGCAAAATAGAAAATATATGGGCACTATATGGACAAAATATATGGCCCAACATGTATTGACGACATATGTGGAAAAGATAATTTAGCAAGATACTTTTCCGATATAAAAAATATGTGGCAAATATAAAATTTCATACATTGCTCTATATGTAGGCAATATATAGTGTGAATGCACCATGGAGTCTGACGACTCAGAGACTTCCTTTACTATTATCAAAGAATGTAACCTCGCCATGCGAGGACATCCAATCGTGATCCTACCGTTGACGCCTAGACGAACTTTTCGCGCTACACTCAAAAAAGACGTTGAAAATTTCCTAACTGTTCCAGTTAACTTGTTAAACAGGATTTCTCAAAATTTCTTGGAGACTTAAACGCATAGAAAAGAACCTTGCCCCTGCTCAAAATATGGCGTCAATATATTTTAAAACATTAAATCATGTTGAGAAATATAGCCGCCTTTCAACATCGAGTGCCAAGATTTTAAGAAAAGTTACTTGAAAAGTCTGCCCTCCTCACCCTGCCCTATCCCACGACGGGCACCGTGTCAGATATTGAAACATACATTTCGCGAAGATAATATTATATGGGGAAATATATGCATCATATATTAACGGGCACCAAGATATTCCCCCATATATAAACCACGTATTGCGCAAGATAATTTGCAATATATTGAGCAAGATACAATTATATTGGCAATGCATGAAACATATATGGAGTCATATATTGACACATATTTTCCATATATTTTCCTTTTTGCAAGGGAGGTTAAAGCCAAATAATGGTTTGCACGTTTCCTTGCGTCATTTCGACAGGTTCGCGGCCAGATGGCGGTCCGGTCCAACAACCAGTGGAAGGAAAATGCGTTTGTCTTCAACTATCCCACTGGAGCCTGTAGAGTGCTGCGGGATCATATACCGGACTTCTTCACCATGGTCGCGCGAGGCATTCACGCCACAAACGGACCCTGCAGACTTGAAGCCAGCGTAAATTACTATTGCCATATTCATTCAATCGGCAGGGTCGGCGTGAGCCCTTGAGCCCCGGCCAGGGCCATGGCAGAGCCCGACTCGGGCCCCAATGGCCCCAATGGCCAGGGCCCCAACCTGAGCTCATTTTAAACCCCGACCTGAGCCCCGCGTCAAGAAAAATTGCAATTTGACCAAAAAACTTAAACGAACAGTTCAAAAAAGGAAGTTTTTCTGGCATGCGGCTCAATTGGGACGGGGCTCATGACGACCCTGCCCTTCAACTTGAGCCATTTATTGTCAGTTTGCGTCAGACGTGCTTCCGAGCCTCTGGAATGGTCTTTGTTTCGTCAGGGGGTGGCAACGGCCTAGGGAGAGCGTGAAGCGATGCTCGCGCCGTCAGTGCAGAGGTTGCGCACTTGTTCGAGATTATGAAAACTAGACTGTGTTTTTCAAAACTCTTTGCACCGATGGAAAGGGCTTGAAATTTAGGGTGCTTTACATGTTTATTTTGGAAAAGCTGCACTTTTCGACCTTTATAGATTGATGTTTCCCTTTAACCCTGAAATGGAACTTAAACTTAACATATTTTTGGAAAGTCAACGCAAGAATTGGGGTTCGACGTGGTGCAGAGTCCAAGTATATGCGTGATAACAAAGTAACCTTTTTTTTTTTTTTTTTTGCAGGGCACGAACGAAGTAGATAAGGTACCAATTTCATGGGATTTCCCCAAATTCAAGATCATGCCGTATGGACGCTACAAGTTTACGATACGATTTGGCGATGTCACTAGTACGCGCTTTTGCACAGAGGTGGACTGTACTATAATTCCAAAACCAACTATTTAGCGTTGTGCTTTTCTCTGATAGAGTTGATGGAACCTCATAATATATGACAATTTTCAGACAGCAAACTTTTGAAGCTTCCGTATTCATTCGAACCTAGCCTCCAGAAATTGATCCGTGAAGCGGAAAAAGGGGATAACTCAATTTTCATCATTTTTCAGTAGAAACAAAAAACTGTTTGCTAGGAAAATCAAATCCATTCAGATAAGTGATGTGATTGCACTATTGTCAAAAAAGAATCAGTAATAACTGTAAAAATTTTCAAAAGTGTAACATCACTCTGTAAACGTTTTCTGTGATTTAAATCTTTACGTTAGAATGAACTAAGAAACCGTTTATTTGTCCTCCCAAACGAGATGGAATATGGAGACAACTCAAGTGGAGCTGAGGTCTGCGTACAGTCTATTGCTGTGGGTCATTTTGAGAGTTACCTCCTTTTTCCATTAGTTTATTTAATGAATTTGGAGTTAAGTTGACTCTTTTCACATTATATTCATAAAGACACAAGTTGAGTTATCTCCTTTTGCTATTTTGTGAAACGGAGTCACGTAGTAGTCTTCGGTTGAGTTGGCTCCATTTTCCGATGAAATTTAGACCGTAAAGAGGGTCAAGTAAAGTTATGTCCATTTTCCATGTGGATTTTCTCCTAAACTGCTGGGAATTGAGTCAAATAATTTGATGTATAGATGAAAACCATCCCTAAGCACAATAATAAGATAAAAACTCAATTTGGAGAGAAGTCAACTTACTAACTTCTTTCGCTTCATGGATCAATTAAAACGCGGCATTTTCGTGTACACGTGATTCGGAAAACGCAATGATTCGCGTACTCAGCACTGATAAAAATTTTGTCGTAACTTAGCGACACATTCATCGCTAACTTTTTTAGCGACAAGATTTGTAGTGGAACGAACAGCTTGTTAAACCAAAGTCGTACTGGAACTAAAGAATAATTTCACAACGACTACCTTGTAATGACACATCAACAGTTCACCTTCAAAAACAAGTCGTTGACCAACAACAAATGTTGTTAGTCAACAACAAGTATTGTAAGTCGTAAAAGATTTTGTTGTCTGCGACAAGTATACATGGAGTACTTTTGTCGCTAAATTTATTTTGCATGGTTCTTTTTTTAACAATAGTAATTTCCCTGTGACTTAAAAGAACAAAAGAGATAATTATTCATAATGTGGTTTAACTGAGTAGATGATTGCAAAAGATGTTGTTTCCACACAAACTGTATCGTTAAGGGTGATAACAAGAATTGTGTTCTTTAACGACAAATTGTTGCTTTCTTGATTCAACGACATTTGTTTCGCTTTGGTTCATGATGAAATTCTATGTTTTGGAACGACTAAATTTTCACTCTTCTGATTGTTTCTGTACAACTTTTTTTAACAGTGTTGGTTGCGCGTGATTCCGAGTGATTGAGCACGATTTCGTTTGATTTCATGGATGATTCTGCCTTTTCCGTGCATAATTACGCATCGTGACACTGCGCGCACGATTTCAGCCAAAGTCTTCAACTTTTTTTATAAATCAATCTGTAATGTGCATCCACTGTGGCAAAAAAGCTACGGAAAATTATGTGAATTGCTTGTGGCAATACTCCGCAGACCTCAGACCCCTTGTCAAGGTTCCCCGTAGGACCTTACGGTGATCTCCGTAGGACTTTACAGTCTTCCAGGTCCTACGGAGAAGGCTGTGCGACTAACGGTAGGTGAGTTCTCAAAATGAGTGAGTTCGTCAAAATCAAAGGACCAGCCATTTTTCCAAGCTCTATCTTTGTGAAGTTTTTATCAGTTTCTCTTAATATTTTCTGGCCAATTTCATCAGGGCAGGTTGGGGAGGGGGGCGGGCGAGGGACAGTACGGGTACAGCTAGACATCCCTAGAGAGACGGAAAGACTGCGCGCTGGATTGGCTGTCTATCTGCACGGGGCGTCCCAGCTGATTCGCGCGAAGAGCTTCAGTTAAATTGAGAATTCTTGTGTTGAGAGGCCGAAACCCAACTTTTTCTATATACCAATCGAAAGCTTAAGAAATATGGCCGTAAGAAATGGCCTTATTTTCGTGTTTTTCGCAATTTACTCCACTGGTAATGATGCTAGACCAACTCTGAGGGCAGATTCGGATTCCTCGTCGCATTTTACGTCAGAATAGCATTAGAGCCTAAAAATCCAACAAAAAATGGCCTTTTTGAGCCATTTTGAAGAAATTGCAAGATTTTTAAGAGAAAATAAATCAAACTGCCGATTCTGACGAAAGCACTTGAGATATCGACCTAAAAGTTTGTGGGCATGTTCCTGACCACAAGGGCTACTTTCGAGCTGAATTTGGTCGACACACGGTAAAAACGGAACCTGGTTTTCCCAGGAAGCCAATGGTGAAGGCATAGGCGATTTCCAGGGAGCACCTGGGAAAACCAGGAACCGTTTTTACCGTGCATTGTCAAAGGTCACCCAGATCCGTGTAAATCTTATATGAAATGACCCAATGCCAAATAGTGCACGCTTATGGTTGTGAACATAATTGAAACGTTTCCAAGTTTCAGGTTTCCTTCAATGCACCTTTTTTTTTTATTTCATAATCAACGGTTCAGACTCTCTACATGAAAATCTTTTTAAGCGGTGGGGGAACTCCATCCTCTGTTGGCTTGGGGCGTACCCACACTGCGACGCTGTAGGCGATGGGTCCCCCGCGGACGCTCTCGAAGTCGATTTGGAGCGCACTGGCTGCGGCCTCTCCACCGCGCACCAAGTCGAACTGGGCGTTGCTCCCGTCCTGCAGGAGGTCCGTGATCTGGACCGCCGCGATTTCAAGATTCTCGTTGGACCACTTGACGGACTCGCGTGTGGTGTGGTACAGCTTCGCGGTTCGAAGCACTATCTCGCTGAAGCCAACCCTGCCGACGGCAAATGAAGTCAATGTTAAAACTCTGCGTGGCTTATAACGAAGAGGGAACCAAGAGAACTTGACGATTTTTAAATATAAGTGCTATTTGACTATCAGAAAATTGTTATAAATTCCGTCCCGAACCTGGTCCGCTCAGACATAAAGTGATACAAATTCATATTAATTCAGAATTATTGACGTAAAATTGTAAGCAACAGATTCATATTTCTGATATGTTGCCACTGAAATGGAGATGGTTTACACATAATGCCAGTGGGGAGGGGAAAGAGCCGCCTTGGCACTAGTTCGTTTTGATATACGGCAATTATCCGTTTCAATCAAAACCCGGATGTCCAAGTTGTCGAAACAAAATAAAAACATTTAACTTTTGGAACGACCATGTTAGAAAATAGGATCTCAATCGGCCTCCATCAAACCAATCAGTTATTGATCTTAGTCATAGCGTCGTTTTAAAAAGTTGAAAAAAGCAGCACGTTATACAAGATCGTAGATAAACTCATCCACATACCGTCATTTGAACGGTAAGGATATGCGGACTGTAACCGGTAAATTGTAAATTGACGCGGTTCAAACAGAAATCCCAGGTATTTTCCACTCAGAGCCTAGCAAGAAATCTGAACTTACGGTGTGTTTGCTTCAACATGTCCTGTGTGGCCTATTGTCGAAAGTCGGGTGACGAGAACGGAGGTATGTGTGAGCGTTCAGTCGAAGAGGTCCGTTGGAGCGCCTTGGTCCTTAGTGGTCGGGCCTCGACGTGTCAAAGTCGGAAAAGCGGTATGATGGACTAGTTGGTCGAGGTCTCCTAGTCGAAGAAGGCCCGTCTGTGAAGGCAGGGGTCTCAGTTGAAAAGGGACCTTCAGTTGGTCGCGGCCTCCTCGTCGAAGAGGGCCCGTCGGTAAAAGCAGGGGTCTCAGTTGAATAGGGACCATCAGTTGGTCGCGGCCTCCTAGTCGAAGAAGGCCCGTCGGTGAAGGCAGGTGTCTCAGTTGAATAGGGACCTTCAGTTGGTCGCGGCCTCCTCGTCGAAGAGGGCCCGTCGGTGAAGGCGGGTGTCTCAGTTGATAGAGGTCATACGTTGGTCGTGGCCTTCTGGTGGACGACGAGGGCCCGTCGGTGAAGGCGGGCGTTTCAGTCGAGTAGGGCCTTCGGTTGAGGACGTACGTTGGCCGAGCCTCCTAGTCGAAGAGGGTCCGTCGGTGAAGGCAGGTGTCTCAGTTGAATAGGGACCTTCAGTTGGTGCGGCCTCCTAGTCGAAGAGGGCCCGTCGGTGAAGCAGGTGTCTCAGTGAAAAGGGCCTTCAGTTGGTAAACGCGGCGTCCTAGTCGAGAGGGCCCGTCGGTGAAAGCAGGTGTTTCAGTGAAGTAGGGCCTTCGGTTGGATCGTGGCCTCCTGGTCGAAGAGGGCCCGTCGGTGAAGGCGGGTGTCTCAGTTGATAGAGGTACATACGTTGGTCGTGGCCTTCTGGTGGACGACGAGGGCCCGTCGGTGAAGGCGGGCGTTTCAGTCGAGTAGGGGCCTTCGGTTGACTGAGGAGCGTACGTTGGCCGAGGCCTCCTAGTCGAAGAGGGTCCGTCGGTGAAGGCAGGTGTCTCAGTTGAATAGGGACCTTCAGTTGGTCGCGGCCTCCTCGTCGAAGAGGGCCCGTCGGTGAAGGCAGGTGTCTCAGTCGAAAAGGGTCCTTCAGTTGACAGAGGTACATACGTTGGTCGTGGCCTCTTGGTGGACGAGGGCCCGTCGGTAAACGCAGGCGTTTCAGTCGAGTAGGGGCCTTCGGTTGACTGCGGAACGTACGTTGGCCGAGGCCTCCTGGTCGAAGAGGGCCCGTCGGTGAAGGCGGGTGTCTCAGTTGAATAGGGGCCTTCAGTTGACTGAGGAACGTGCGTTGGTCCAGGCCTCTCGGTAGAGAAGGGTCCTGGGGACGACGGAGGAGAAGGTTCCGACGTCCGCGGAGCGTGCGTGGGTCGACGCGTAGTGACTCGGTGCCGAGTAGTTCGGTGGTGGCGCTGGAGCTTGGTGTCGTAGACTTCAAGACCGGGATTGGTCTGCAGTTGCCGCTTGGACGTGTCCACCTCGGCGACGTCCCCGACGACGACCGCCACCAGCGTGGTGGCCACCAGGGCCGCGAGCACCAGGACCGCGATCCTCGCCATGTTCCGTTGAGGAGTGAGTGAGCAGTGAGGGACCAGAAAGGCGTGCTTTTAAAGCAGTCTTTATGACTTGCAGCCCTCTTTCCGTTATCTCGGTGAAGTGGTTGGCCTCTGGTGCCGCTCTGGTTTGACGTATTTAAAATTAATCTTTTGGTGAAGTGTTTCCATCCATTTCTCTCGCCATGGGCTAACAGTGGCCCGGCCTGCGACCACGCCTCCGTTTGGCACTGAGCACTGAACACTCGGAATGAATGAGTCTTGATTAATACCATATTTTGGGCGAGCGGTTTACTTTATCAGATGGATACTATTTTGTGTCCAAAACTTGGCTGATGAAGGTCTAATTGCTCAAATTTGGACGCTACGCGGTATATCGGATGCGGCGCTACAATTTTGGCCCTCTCGCTCTTTTAACGTCGCGATTGTAGTGGCAAGTTTCCTCGCCTCAAATTTGACGCGTTGGCTTGCCAGAACATGGCGCGTTAGATGTCATAATGGCACAGTACACTACAAACCTAACTGTCTACCAAGTACATACTTACAAATGCATGCTTGCAAGTACACACTTACAACGCATGATTGACGCCGAATAACTCCATGCGTCAAGCATGCGTACTTGCGTGTGTACTTGCAAGCGTGCATTTGCAAGTGTGTACTTGGCCAAGCATGCGTTTGTAAGTGTGTACTTGCGAGCATGCAATTGTAAGTGTGTACTTAGTAGACAGTTAGGTTTGTTGTGTACACGGGAATTCAGGGGAATCCCAATGTGGATGCAAAAGTTTTCAATTGTGGTCAGCTTTGTGCTGGCATGTCTTTGAACACCACTGAGAATGAAGAAGTCTTGATCAGAACCCAATTTTTGAGCGGTGTGTACATTATCACCCATATTTAGGTGATGATTGATTCTCACCCAAATTTGATTTCCTCGCCCAAATTTTGGTGAAGAAATGACTCTTGCCCAAATTTGGGCTATAAAGAATTTATCTCCTAAAATTTTAGTCGTGATCATGACTTTATAACTTGGCACTCCGGGATGCCAAAATTTGGCCTCAGACTCGATATTATATATATGGTATTGACATTTTGCCAGTAGCACCTGTAGATATTTGTGCAACTGAAGATATTTTAAATTTGTGAACCTCCTTGCATACCAAGCACATTTGGTTCCCCAAATTTACAGTGTGTCCCAATTTACCATAACGGAACATTACATTTTGGAATAACGTGCAGACCTCATGGGGAAAGACAAGAGAAATAAAAGGGAGATATTAATACAACCAACCAACAATGGAGCTTCTGTCTAAAAAACAATGCATCGTTCACAAGTACGTAGTTGTTTCAGTGAGAAATCACTGAATTAGAATGGTTAGAATGGATTGCATCATTGCACCAAATTATTTGACTCAATTCCTAGCAGTTAAAGAGAAAATCCACTTCGAAGAAAGATGTAACTCAACTTGACCCCTTTTACACTCTCAATTTAGCGGAAAATGGAAACATCTCAACCAAAGTCAACATGACTCCGTTCAACATATTGTTGATAGGAGATAACTCAGCTTGTGTTTTTATGTATCCATTGTAAAAATAATCAAGTCAACTTACCCCCCTTTAATTTTAAGAACTTAAACGGAAAAAAGAGCTAAGGGAGCATTCCACGTCAAACCATCATGGTCCAAAACGCTTTTGCTCAGATCCGGCTCCCAATTTTTTCTGTCATAGCCTGTCACTTAAGGACCACTCAAATAAATTTTTTTGAAAAAATATTCAGAACTTTGGCCGTGGCAATTTTATGAAATTTCAAAAAAAATTTAAAAACTTTTTTAAGTTCTTTTAAAATTCTGTCTTTAGGCGCTCAAATGGGTTGAAAACAGTAAAAGGCAATATAATAAAGTGAGAAACAAGGTTGGGACCCTCAATCTTCGCCTAAAAGGGCGTTTGTGACTAAAAATAACGTTTTTTTTGAATTCCTAAAATACGCCATCTTACTTTTCGACCATATTGGTATCAAAGGGCCCTAGGGGGGTACTCTCACTGCTAGCAAAATATTGGGGACGGCAAACCATAAACACGAGAGATATTGTCATAAAACGCTAAAAGTTATCTTAGTGGATCGTCAAAAATTGACTATTTGACACCCATATCGCTCCTGTGCATTAAAATGTTGTCCTAGTGTCTATCTTAACTCTCTGGAACCATTTCGAGGTGAAGGTCAGCATTACAAGAGTTGAGGCACTACACAGCGAGAAATCTAGGTTGGTGAAACAAAATATTTTGCAGGGATCCTTAACTTAACATTTAACTAACACTGCTTTCATAACGTAACATAAGACAATGTTTGCTAAAGGTTAGGGTACGGACTTATGAAAGTACTTGCAAAAGTATATCCACACAAATTCGAGACATAAAAAAATAACCTACCCTTTTGAAAAGATATTAGAAGTTAAGGATAATAACTTTAACTCTTATCATAACGTTATGATGCCCTTATGAGGTAAGTTAAGGATCCCTGATATTTTGTGCATAAATGAGATTACTGCTGCGCTGCTTTGGGGACGCCGTACATTTTCAACCCAAAACGGCTCAGATAAGCCTTGTTACGCGCGAGGGGAATGGTGCCTACGCGCGCACAATGACGCACAGAATTCAAGTGCAACTCTTGACGCAGCTCGTGTTAAACTTCCAGGAATGAGTGCCGTGCGTAGTCATCCATACACCCTTCCCCCCAGCTCCCTGGCCACTCACTCACTGACTGATTTCCCACGTCATTGATGAGGCCCTTCCCGACGTGCTATCGACCTGCGGTTTTCGCCATTCGACGGGGAAGGTCCAAATTATCGCGGAAAATTTTTGTCAAAAATACAAAAAAAGGGGCGGATCCAGGTCAAATTTCGAAAAAACGAGGGGGGTATTAACACTAGGGCCTAAACGGTGCGTCGCATCGAAATTTTTTTTAAACAAAAGTTGTAGGGCTTGGTGAGAAACGTTAAAGCCACCCTGTCCGCGGTTTCCGCCTTTTACCGTTTTTGAGATATTTTGGAAAAACTGGGGTGCGGGGGGTCGGGGCCCCAAAAGGGGCACAAGGAGGCGAGATGGATGGGGGGTCAAAGCGAGGCGTTTGTAGGCCTGGCCTAAGGCTACCACCCGGTGAAAACGGATTTCGAAAATCTCGAACCGTTTTCGAACGAGGGGGGTTTTTCCGTTCGAAAAACTCGGCACTCGCATCGTGACGTCATGCACCGTGCGATCGGGCTCAAATTTATTTGTATATTGCGTTTCGACGAGATCTACAACTTTTGTTTGAAACTTTTTCTCGTCCGACGCCCCGTTCGCCCGGGAGGGGCGTTTGAATGCGATTTCACTGCGTCGCCCCTGGCCGCGCGCCGCGCAGCGGCCTTCGGCGGGGTGGGGGCAGCCGGCGCAGTGGCAAGGCTACTCGGCGGGTCTTCTCCCAGCGAGGCGGCGTGGCGGAGTGGGCTGCGCGCTCGGCAGCGGAGCGGGAGGTTGCGGGTTCGACTCGCGGTCGGGGTCTTTGTTTTTAATCTCATTTTTCTTCGACTTTTGGACTTGGGGCACCACAGGCGAGGTCCGCCAGGTGGACTGATGATAGAATGCGGCCGCTGTAGAGAGGAGAACGACAGGAGACTTGAAGTGCGGCGCGCAGCGGCCACTGCTGGCCTGGCGGAGGGGTGGGGGGCAATCGGCGGAGTGGGAAGGCTACCCGGAGGGACTGCTCCCAGCGAGGCGGCGTGGCGGAGTGGGTTCAGCGCTCGGCAGCGGAGCGGGCGGTTGCGGGTTCGACTCGCGATCGGGGTCTTTGTTTTTTTATCTCATTTTTCTTCGCTTTTTGGACTTGGGGCACCACAGGCAAGGTCCGCCAGGTGGACTGGTGATAGAATGCGGCCGCTGTAGAGGAGAACGACAGGACTTGCGTGCGGCGTGCAGCGGCCACTGCTGGCCCGGCGGAGGGTTGGGGTCAATCGGCAGAGTGGCAAGGCTACCCGGCCGGACTTTTCCCAGCGAGGCGGCGTGGCGGAGTGGGCTGCGCGCTTGGCAGCGGGGCGGAAAAGGTTGCGGGTTCGACTCGCGGTAGGGGTATACTTCTTTTTCTCAATTTTCTTCAACTTTTTGGTCTTGGGGCTACACGGGTGGGTCTCCTCAGACCGACTGATGACGGGCTGCGGCGGCGGGGGGCTTTCGGAGGAGGAGACTTGGGTACTTATATACGTTGCGGCGGCTGGGGGTCGGCGGTAGCGCGATGGGTGGCGGCGGGGTGGGGGCAGCCGGCGGAGTCGGATGGCTGCACGGCACGATCATCACCAGCGAGGCGGCGTGGCAGAGTGGGTTCAGCGCTCGGCAGCAGAGTGTGGATGGTCGTGTGGGTTCGTCTCACGCTAGGATTTTTATTTTTCCCCTTGTTCCCCGTCGGTCTCTGTCTTAGTTAGGGTAAGATCTGTCACGGGCCCGTTAGGTTAGGTTAGGTAAGGTTAGTTCAGGATAGTTGCCGCCAGGTGGCTGGCGGGGTCGGGGAAGCCGGTAGAGTGGAAATGCTACTACGCAGCGCGACTGCAGTCAGCTCGGCGGCGTTGCAGAGTGGGCGTTGAGAGGTCAGCAGCAGCAGCAGTGCGGGTGGTTTCGCGGGTTCGACTCGCGCTAAGGGTGTCGTGGGTTTTCTGAATCGTTTTTCTCCGGCTTTCGAACAAAGGCCAACAGTGCATGTAAGACGACGACGCGGGCCCAAAGGGCCAGAAAAAAAGCAAATTGGCCTTACGTAGGCGGACGGTCCAGCATGGGCCCGAAGGGCCCAAACCCAGCAAAAGCAGGTCAAGACGGGGGACCGAAGGTCCCCCGTCGCAGACCGCTTAGCTTTTGCACAGCGGGCCGAAGGCCCGCACCCGGGGGGTCTGGGGGGGCGCAGCCCCCCCAGCGAGCGAAGCGAGTCATGAACCTATAAAGCCCCAATCCGACTGACTCACTGACTCACTCACTCACTGACTCACTCACTCATAGAAATGTTTGGGGTGAAGGAGTGGTCGTAGA